GTGACTGGGATTAGTACCTCTTAAGACTGAAAATTTCCCAAAAATAGAACACAAAAATCCCTAAAACTCTTTTAAATTATTTAAATTTCCCCGTCTTAAGAGGTACTAACTCCACTCACCCTCCCTTTCCTCTCTTAGAGGGTATTTCATTTGCGAAAATCAGTTTTATTTTAGCAGGTAGTAGGTGGGTGGGGCTAGTAACTGCTAAGATAAAACTGGTATTGGGAAATGGTATTCCCTCGAAGAAACTATAGGGTGGGTGGGCGGGGTTAGAGGATATGTCATCTGCAAAAATCAGTCTTATCTTAGCAGGTAGTAGCCCCGCCCACCCACCCTCTCTTTTCTTGGAGGATATGTCATTTGCGAAAATCAGTCTTTTCTTATTAGGTACTAGCCCTCTAACAAGATAAAGGGCGGATGGGCCGAGCTAGTGCTTGGCAAGATAAGGCTGATATTGGCAAATAACATACATTCTAAGAAAATAACGGGCGGGTGGGTGGGGTTAGTACTTGCTAAGATAGAACTGATATTGGCAAATGGTATTCCCTCAAAGAAAATAAAGAGTAGGTGGGCGGGGTTAGAGGATATGTTATCTGCAAAAATCAGTCTTATCTTAACAGGTACTAGGCCCGCCCACCCACCCTCTCTTTTCTTAGAGGGTATATGATTTGCAAAAATCAGTCTTATCTTAGCAGGTACTAGCCCCGCCCAATGATCCGGGATCATTTTGCCTCAAGAAAAAGGGATCATTTCGCCTTAGGTAGCATATCTGCATTCAAAAATTGTAAACTAACCTTCAATTTTTACATGCGGTAAAAAGATCATAACTAACCTACGACTGAAATGTATCTAATTCTGTCAAAACAACTACCACCGCTATAAGACCTTTCAAATGGAAGTAATGGACTTTTAAAATATATCTTACCTTAGATCAGAGGTGCTTATTTTACATATTTTGGCACAAAACTGTGCAGAATACACAGAACGCCATCAAACTTTCAGAAGGTACTAATTACAGAGCGCTTAATCAAATGACAGTTATGTTTGGTAGATGGAGCCACAAATTTTCTTACAATTGATGGGGATCATTTGACCTGAGGGGATCATTTTAGGCACTTTTCCCCTACATCTGCAAAGCTTTATCGAACCTAAAAATATTTTTTCCTCGTTTCATCCATATTACATATTTTGCTTATGATATAAACAGAAAGGTTCAGGAAATTTATTTTCAATAGTAAATAATTTAGTGAAAGATGTTAAGAAAATTTTTGTTAAATCACCTTTGAGAGTACAATTTTATCCAAATGCGTTGCACAATTTACCATTACCTCCACAATCTATTGTAACTAGGTGGGAAAGATGGTTAAATGCAGTTGTATTTTATACCAAAAACTACATTGCAGTTAAGAATTTTGTTAATGAACTGTCAGATGATGCTACTTCTATTAAAGAATCTAAAATACTGTTTTTACTTCCCGAGCGTAAGCTAAGGAAGTATAGTAATCGAGTCCATTGACCGAATTGCCACTTTCATATTTTCTCGTCATGTCATGACTTCTAGAGTAAGAAATAAGTGGTCTCCCGTTTCCATCCGTCTGTCTGTCTGTCTGTCTATCTATCTGGTGTCTGTATCCATTTTTACTAGACAAGTAATCTCCAAAACTACTGGACCGATTGTTGTCACACTTTTTACGTATATTAGAAATATCATCTAGATGGTTAAACGATAACTAAAATTTGGTTAATCATCCCCACCACCATGAGATAACGTCATCTCTAAAATTTATTATATATATTTTTTATTTTATAAAATATGATACTCCTGCACTTGTGATGTGTGAATCCGTGTCAAATTTTCACCCTAGACATCCAGAATTTTTGGAAAAAAATTCCAAACTTAATTACGATATTTTCCAATATAACTTTAAAACTACAAAACCGAATGCTCTGAAATCTCGTAAATATTTTAAGTCGTAATCATGGAAAATCGTTAAGTAAAATTTATTCGTTTATACCTGCAAAATATGATGAGTCTTCACTTGTGATTTATGATTGCATTAAAAGTTTTTAAATTTCTTATGCTTATATGGTGACTTATAAAAATTAATGAATGCGTCATTATTTTATTGATTCAATCGGAAACGGCTCACTCCATTTTCCCGAAAATTTGGGAATACGTGACAGCATCACAAAATTTTGTTATGTGAATGTGAAAACTCACTTGGAACGTACGGCCAACACGCTTGTTTACATTTACTTTAACGTTATATCTTTATTTTAACACACAAGGGTTCTCATAAAAAAAATAAATTCTCATAATAATATTTTATAATTTTTCGAAAAAGCTGGATTTGTTTTATTTTATTTCAGGAGCAGGAAATAACCTTCTACCAATTTTTTTAAAACACAACTGCCATCTCAATTAATTGGCATTAATTTCGGCTAATGTTTCTATAATTGCTGATACAATTTTAAAACTTGAATAGATCAATATTTAGCATTGGTAGATTCTGTTCAGCTAGTAACAAATTGTTTTCAAAAACTATCCAATGTTCAAGATAAAATAGGTAAAACAGTTTTTCAGAAATTTAAATCTGTTTTATAAAATATGTAATTATTAATATTTTGTCGCTTGTGAGTGAAATTTTGGGAGAAGAATTTTGTAAATGTGGATACAAATCCAAATATAATAGAGAATTTAAAATTTACTCCAATAACCTCTGGCAATGTCGAAAGATAGTTTTCAATGTTAAAACATGTGTTATGTGACAAGCGCGAATAATTTCTAATGGAAAATTTTGAAAAACATTTAATAAAAATTATCGCTAAAATATAAAAATACTGTGTAAACAGGTTTTTCTTACATACTTACTTAATTTAGTTATAATTCGAATTCTTATATTGCAAATAAACGTTACAAGACTTGTACTTTAACAATAACCAATTAAAAATATCATTTTGTTTTATTAGACCTATTCAAATTAAATATTTGCATAAGCATATTTTGCATATTTAGCTGCATGTTTTTAATAAAATGGTGCATATTCTGACCAAATATGTATATGTGCATAATATGGGCATATTTCTTTGATATTTTGATGCATTAAATCCGAGCCTTACTCATAAATTAAAACATAATATGTGTGAAGTTTTTCCATAAAGAAATTTTGTGATGACGTCGTCGACATTTTACTAAGGACACATGTATCAATTTGAGTACTAATACTAATAATAACAGTACTTCATCCTCAAATTTTCGAGAAAATGGGTAAATCATTGACGATTTGATCAACAAAACAAATTGCTGCATTCACTAATTTTCTTGAATCGCCATGTAAATGTTATGTGTCAATTAAAAATAAGTCCCTCAGAATTTACGACCTTTCTATAATAAAAATTAAAATTACCGCGTTAGTCGCTTTTTATAAAGTACGGCGATTATGTCTCAAAATGGATGTTTTGCAAAAAATGTATACGGTGTTGCATTAGTTTCTGTCTCCTGCAAATTTAAGTGTTATAATTAATTCAACAGCATTTTTTTATTCTTCTACGCTACAACTACATACTAATATTTTTTATATTTACGTTCTTGTATTATGACTAAACAAAAATTTCGCCCAAATACCCGTTAACTTTGCACAGCATAATAAACAACATTAAAGAGTTAAAGAAATATATTTTACAATCTATCCAACAACATAAATTTGTCAAAATATTTGGTAATACACATTAAAGAAATTTTATTTATTCGTCCTCTCAAAAAACTTAACGATCGCATTTTAAAAATATGTTAAATTAATAGTGAATTGTTAATGTAATTTTAGTTTTTACAACTGCTTACAGTAGATGTCCAAAAATAAACGTGTATATAAACAAATTCATTTTTTATCACATCTGAAAGGACCCCTTTAATAACCCAGGAAATTTGTAGTGCAAAATGATGCCAAGTTATATACATTAGAATTAAAATATTTATGCTCCAAAAAAATGAATAACAGAATCTTCATTAATGAATGTCCTCTAATAGGCAGAATAAAATTGATAGTGCTCTAAAGGCGAGGAAAATTCTCTCTAAATATATCGTCAGACTAGTTTGCTGAGTATATTTTTGGTGTAGATTTTGTTGTTTTCCCTTATTAATATTATTATTTATAATTTCCAAGATGCCTTTTTTATAACGTGTCATTAATGACGTAGTCAACACAGATCGACGTCATATAACTAGTTGTAACCTGATATTGAAATCAGAGCACATAAACACAACTAGTTATAACGTGTTCTTTTAGCTGCACATAATGCGTTTTGAAATTGTAGGGAAAAAATACAAAAAACCAATTTGGAAATTCCACAAGGTGACGAGTACCTATATTATTTTATAAAATTGAAATAATGTTGATTACGCAAAATGTTGAGGTGACGTCATTAAACTGTTGATGGGCATGATTAGGGGAAATGTTGGTTATCGTTTTACCATCTAAACGATATTCCTAACATACATATAAAATTTGACAACAGTCGGTCCGGTAGTTTCGGTTATATTTATAAATGTTTATATTCACATATTCACATTTCTTCCTGTTTGTTAAAAAAAAAATGACAGATAACGCGTGATAAATTTGTCATATAATAAACCGAGTAAAGACATTCCATCACAATAGTGAAAAATTATTATTTATAAGGAAAAAGTGTATTTGTACTTAAACAGAAAAGTTAGGGCCGCTTACTTTAGAATACTCTACACATCAGTTTTACAACTTGTACACTTCAACATGTCATTAAATTTCAGCTTTTATCGAACATCTGTGTCTTTTTTAAAGAAGCAAAATGTCACTTGATAACAAAATTCAGGCTACTACAAGATTCTTATCTAAAAATAGAACCTGAATTGTTACAGTGTCATATAAATGGAAAACTCCGTGTTCTCTATTATTCAAAGGTTGCATTCCTTGAATAACAACCTATAGATCTCTTATTCATAATTAATTCAAAAAGTCTTTTACTTGCTATATTTGAATAATTAATTAATTGTGACGCTGTTGATTTCTCATAAAAAAAAGTATTTGGATCATATCGTCAACATTTAAGGTAAAAATAATTTAATTAACATGCATATTTTCTATAAAAAGAACTCGTTTAGCATATTTTAAAGGTTTAACAAGGTTATCGTCAGAGCGACACAGTTTTGTAAAACAACAGTTATGGTGTATCCAGAAGAAAAGGGGCTCTCTGTGCCTAAAATCACTACACAGGAAGTACGGTAAGATTATTTCTCCGCACTAAATTACTAACGAAAAAAAAACAACTTACGTTCCTTCAGGCTATAAAAATGTGTATGACGTAGTTGAAAGTGGTTGCAATTTATCATACATGATGTTCCTACAAAACCGATAATTCAAAATATTGTTTTACTTAATATTTGAATATCAATCGAAAACAGTATACTAAAAAATTAAAGACATTAGAAACTCTTACAACTTTGATGTACCTATTGATGAGATGAGAGGGTACTGGTTCCCTCTGAATTTTTTATCTCATTACACTTTAGTTATGCAAACAGTAGTAATTAGAAAAATACACATCAAAAATTTCCAGTTTTAGTAATATATTTAGCATTAATATAATATTTATTCATTCAGTACACATGTAGTACGTATCTGTACTTTTATCTTTCGATGATTCAACATTTGTCTAGAAATAAATACAGAGTTACTAACTACAGTTTTAAGTGAATGAAACTGATAAGTTTAATTTGAACTTGTCGCATAATCCGTATTGGTTCCAGTGGTGATACAATTAAGTCTGAAAATATCCCAGTATGGAAGTTTTGGAAAAAACGAAGATATGTAGTGGCAATTCTTGCTTTCTTTGGATTTTTTAACGTCTATGCCCTCAGAGCAAATCTAAGCATCGCTGTTGTAGCAATGACAACAAATCAAACCTCTACCCTCAATAACAGAACAATTATATCTGTAAGTCAATTAACTGATTAATAAAGTTGTACAAACATTGTTAATCTAATAAATCTTTTAGGAACCTGAGTTCGATTGGAACTCAAAAATTCAAGGCTACATACTCAGTTCCTTCTTCTATGGATACATCACAACCCAAATTTTTGGAGGCTGGCTAGCTGCTAAAATCGGAGGTAAAGAAGTTTTCGGAATAGGAATTGCCATAACGGGCGTTCTAACTCTAATAACACCATGGGCCGCCAGAACAAACGTTTATGTTCTACTAGCCGTACGAATCATTGAAGGAGTGTTTGAAGGAGTGACCTATCCTTGTATCCACGCCATGTGGTCCAAATGGGCACCTCCATTAGAAAGAACAAAAATGACAACCATAGCTTTCTCTGGAAGTTACGTTGGCACAGTGGTTTCGATGCCAGCTAGTGCTTACCTAGCAACCACTTTAGGCTGGCCTAGTATTTTTTACGTCTTTGGAGTTGTATCTCTAATTTGGTTCGTGTTTTGGTGGGTACTGGTAACAGAAGCGCCAGCAGATGATCCTAGAATTTCTAAAAATGAACTGGAATATATTGGGGCGTCTTTGGGGTATCTTCCAGCCAAACAAAATATTAAGCACCCTTGGAAAGAAATTCTGACGTCGTTGCCGGTTTGGGCTATTATAGTCTCTCACTTTACGGACACCTGGGCTTTTTACACACTTTTAACCCAGTTGCCTATATTTTTGAAAGGTAATTTTATTATTATTAATTAATAATTAGAAAAATGTGACCCACTCATACGTTTCTTGATGCAGATATGTTTAAATATGATTTAGAAGAAACTGGATTTCTTACAGCATTGCCTTATTTAGCTATGGCTATAATGATTCAGTTCTTTGGTTTCGTCGCCGACTGGCTCCGAATTAAAAACTTTTTAACGACGACACAAGTCAGGAAAATTTTTAACTGTACTGCGTTTGCATTTCAGGCTGTTTTCATGCTCATAATAGCATTTTCGATGTCGTCTTCTGGAACTATGGTGTGTTTAATTTTAGGTGCAGGCATAGGAGTATCGTCGTGGTCAGGATTTGGGTATTTGTTTATAAAACTATTATTGCTATATTTAGTACGATACATTAATAATTTCAGAGTAAATTTTCTTGATATTGCCCCTCAACACGCAAGCGTTATTATGGGTTTAAGCAACACTATCAGTACCTTAGCAGGTATAATCAGTCCCATACTTAGCGGATACATTGTAGCCACACCTGTAAATTTTGTTGCATAAGTTTGTTAGAAAACTGAGAGTGTCGTTTCAGAGACCTGAGGAATGGCAGACTATTTTTTGTATTGCAAGTGGAATATTTGTATTTGGGAGTGTTGTATATGGTGTATTTGCCTCAGGAGAGGAACAGCCTTGGGCCACAAAAAAAGAAATAAAAGAAGAAGTACCTCTCACTGTAATAGCATCCAATAGATAGTACGGTAAATACTGTTGTGGTCTTAGAAATGTAGATATAGGATAAGTATTTCCCTTTTGTATATAATAAATATAAAGTAAATAAAATGATAAGTATCGCATCTTTTTTGAATCTGAGGATGCGTGGTTAATTGATCGGGATATGTTTATTCTCGTTCCCGACGGTGACCTCTATTCAAACCTATACGCTTCTCTCGATGGATCGAGAACGCCGCTTCGAGGCTTTTCTGAGCCCGTCCCCTCATCCGCTTCCAGGCTTTCCTTTAGCGAACGCCGCGCCGCCCGGCCTATGAATCATACTACATATTAGAAGAAACATATGCATACTAGAAGACCCAAAGGCGTCGTACCGGAGCGGCGTATAGGTTTATTTCGTAACAATATGTAAAATTTCCCAGTAGTTTCAGAGACAAATGAGGAACGATAGACAAAACGTCAATAAAAAAAAAACAAGGAACCTACTATCGATTCATCAAATGAACTCCATTACAATACAGTAAGTAAGTGCTAATTCCATTGTAAATACGTATATTTTATAACATTTTTATCAGTTGCATCGGCACGATACCAGATAAGGTTAATTGCTGCTTTTATTATATCAATGTTATTTAAGTCAACAATTGCCGAACAATAATACTAAAAATTTGTGCGATACGGTCAAAGTCAAGTAGTTATTCTGGATTCACCTCATTTATGAGATTAGAATCAAGTGTGAAAACAAGCAATTAATTTAATGTAATAAAACATATTCAAGGCATCGCAAATTTTCCTATAAAAGATGTTCCAACCGCTAATTTAACTCAATGTCCCTGTCCTAAAGCTTATATAATTAACATTAATGACAATCAAATTCCACAGTCCTTGTTCAAGTATTTTTTACATTTTATAGAAACAACAGATAATAAATTCACGCATTCTAACAAATAACTATATCTTTCAAAACTACAAATAAGATAAACTACACTTGTCAGAACCAATATTAAAAAATTAAAAAAAAAAATGTAGATAGTGAAAGAAGTGAAGAAGTAGAAGAAGAAAGAAGATGTTAAATTATGCATTAATTCAAATGATTCTTTAAATAAAAATAAGTTCATCAAGATGACATAGTGGACAGAATTCCCACAACCCATAAAACAAAGCGCACATGAAATAAACAAAATAGATTCAAGAGCTGCATACTTTGGCAATAAATGTTCAAATTCAAGCTGTAAGGAAAATGTAAGTTGGAAAAAATTATGACTGCAAAAAATAACGTATAAATGTATTACAAAATAAACATAAAACCCGTTTCCAGTCCAGAGTGATATCAATTTATCTGATGAATGATGATTCTTTTCAGGGTTCCATCCCTCAAAATGGATCAATGTTTAAGATTAGTTTAACTTTCAGAAATGAACCATATTTAATCTCGAGTGAAAAGATATTGTAATAACCCAAACTTCCCGCCTTTAAATGGACCTTGAAAAAGTTTGAAAGGCCCGCGAAAAATTCAAAAATTCAAAATTTGGCCTTGTCTGTGATCGTCTAACAAATGGGAACCTACGTTGTGTTTTTTTTTTAAGTGGCGGAAAGACGTTCTTTCATACAAATGCATACACTGCGTGTGAGTTGAGAGCGCAAGAAATAATAGACAAAATTGTTTTGGAGGGGGAGCACGGCAAAATCCGATTTAAGTAACTGGATGCAAATACACAAGTTATTACGGGCGTGTGGCGGCAGATTTTTTAAAGTTACGGCAGTTAACATGAGCACAACAAGAGTACCCCTGGGCATTCTAGCATAAGCGGAGTTTGGGGCTACCGGTCGGGGCTGGTCTCCCCCCACGACGGTGATTCTATCTATCACAAAGCCTACCCGCACACATATCTCCATTACGAACGTGCCCTGCGAAACTAGGCCGCTACGATCGCAGATCAGTAGTTGGGTCTCGGCTATGGACAGAAGCCGACAGCGTTACAACACCGGCGATCGCCCCCTGACTCTATACAAACCCGCGGACTTGTGCAGGTGTCGCCAGCAATCTCGCCAGCTCGACTAGGAACCGAATTTAGCTTCTGCCACGTTTTCTGTGTTATTTACCCTCAGTTCCATTTTTAAATATTCAATCTCTTATAACTCTGATATTAACAACAACTAAACTAGTGTTAAAGTTTCAACGAGCAATAAACAACATTTAAATTCCCCATACAAACTTGTGAAATTTTGAACAACAAATAATTCTTATGTGAGATTAAAATTAGACATCAAATAATTTATATGATAGAAACATTCATCAACAAAGTGTTTACAAAACAAACTAGCAAAGATTTATGAAACGAAAAATCTGGTGTGAAATAAACTTGTACAAATAAAAATATTATGTGAGGTTAAAACTGCAGAGCGTGAAATTTACATTCAATTAAAATTATACAACAAAGGAAAATTACTGAAGTTAAAACTGTGAGATTGAGAAATATTTTATGAGGTAAAAATTTGCAAAGTTAACAAAATTTACATGAGATTAATATTTGCCACACTTTATCAACGGTTCAAACAAAGAGTTTACATTATGTCAAATTATTACTTTAAAACAATTTACTTTGAGAGTTTAAAATACTGTGAACTGGTTACCCCAACAAAACACATAATAAACAAACACAAAAATATCCAACCATCGCTTCGAGGGAAAAAGCGTCTCGGTGATGTAAATTTTAAAATCGTTGCAAGGAATTGCCTCAATGAATTAATCATGATAACGATGATAACCACCTAAGGGAAGAAATTATAACCCCCGCCAGTTCTCAGTATAATGAACTTGTTTAACTGCCGTAAATGAACTATTAGCAATCTTGTGTGAAGAATTAAGAAGTGTTATAATGTAAAACTTACGTATATGCACCCAGAAACCTATTCGTAATTAAACAACCAGGTGTTTTCCTGACTAAGTGAATTTCGTGAAATCTTCTAGCAAGTGGTTTATTTAAATAATCCTGGTTGTTAAATTGTGTTTGCACTAGCTGACGATTAAGAAAAACTAACTTGATTGGTGAATTTACAAACAAAGACACAAATTTACAGCACGTGTTTCGCGTTGAACGGAAGTCCGCAAATTTTCGATTAAAAGGCCGCAAGGATTAACCGCGCGGGTTGGGGACACCTGAGTGACGTTGGCTAGGATTGATTGTCGTTAAGCAAAGGCTTCCTCCCGTTTTATTAACTACCAAACGAACTAATTTAAACCTAGCTCTTACCACGTGGTTACACTCACACAAGCACATTCAGAATGACCCCTCTAACTAAAATCCCCTAGCGCTACGTGCCGCTATCTAACTCAATAGTCATGCAACTACTAACCCCTAAGCGCTATTAATTGTTCGACAATCAAGCAAGCGTTTCCGTGCACCAGGTTGCCTATGTTTAACGATTTTTTTGTGATTGAATTTTTTTTTCAAATTCAAATTATTCAAGTGTGATTTCGCGCCACTGTTAATTAATTTCAGCGCGAAAACTTTGATTTAAATTCGGTCACCACAATATCATGAGTGAATAATAAAATAACTTAGTTAAAATCCATTCAATTACTAAGAGGAGTTAAGCCTGAACAAATCTACGCCACAGGTGAACACGTAAATTACTGTCACAGATTTGCGTTAGAACCATGAGACTAAGGTAGCTTTTGAAGTTACAAATAAGTGAAAAAAAATTCATGTGTTGACGGATTTGTCAACAGCTTTCCAACAAAATTTCTGATTAGAAAATCGTTGATAAAGTGGTCTTACACTAGTTACATTCATTGAGGGGAGGCAGAGTGGACGGTTGCCTACGTTATTAGAGTGATTTTTATTTTCAAACGTGGTTTCATGGTGTTGTGCGAAATTTGATTTTTAAATCGGGACACCACAATACTTTTTACAGCCACATATTCCACTGAAAAGTTGACAATTATTCAGTTAATAAATAAATGCAGTTATCTCTTCCGGAAATGTTCGTTCTATTTAGATCTTTGGTTATTAATCTCTGGTTATCTATTATACAGATCTTTGTCTCTTATTTTAAAGACGTAGTATTATTTTTAAATGAATGGAAAATAAAAACAATAATAATTGTTCGGACGTCATGTATGGCTTTTGAAACAATGGCATTTAATTATTGATTTTATCAGAAAAAAAATAATTACTTATACAGGTGTTCTAAAACCAGTTTTATTTTTAAAGCATAGCTGGAAAGTAAATTTTCACACAAGTATTTTTCAGATTTCTTGGGTATGACTACTTATTTGTTTTAATACTTAAATCGCGTTATGTAATATTGTTGATCAAATTATACATATGTCAACACGTGGGTAAGTGAGTAGTTATTGTCAGCAAGATTACTACGGTGGTTTTCCTTTTTTATGTTTTATTAAGGAGATTTAATTAATTTTATGATAGAGATTATGAGAATATTAATGATACCTATTTAATTAGGTATTATAAAGGTTTAAACTGACGTAATTATAAAATATTATCAGCACAAGCTGATCAGTGTAGTTCTCACTTTAGTTATTTTATCAAGTTTTACAAATAGGTAGTGTGTCTGAAATATACATAAACAAATTACAATGAGCGTGATTAACGAAAAACAACCACCACAATTATCAGACAAAATAGTGTAAGTAAATAATGTTCAAAATTATTGACTTTTGTAACCTCTCGTGTAATCATTTTTTTTAGTACAGAAAATTACCCCATGTGGAAGTTCTGGAAAAGACGTCGCTACATTGTTGCCATTTTTGCATTTTTCGGTTTCTTCAACGTGTACGCCCTCAGAGCCAATCTAAGCATCGCTATTGTGGCAATGGTTGAAAATAAAACTACAACCTTAGAAAATGGCACCATAGTTTATGTATGTTTGTGTTTTTTTATCTAACCCGAGTCAAATTTCAATGGGCAATTCTAGGGACCCGAATTTGACTGGGACTCCACCACCCAAGGCCTGGTTTTAAGCTCCTTCTTCTATGGATACATCACCACCCAATTTTTTGGCGGCTGGATCTCTGCCAAAATTGGAGGCAAACGTGTCTACGGAATAGGAATAGCTGTCACAGCATTTTTAACTCTATTAACACCCTGGTTAACCACAGTCAGCGTTTATCTCTTACTCGCTATAAGGATAATCGAAGGAATATTCGAAGGAGTAACATATCCTTGCATGCATTCAATTTGGGCTCGATGGGCACCTCCTCTGGAAAGGGCAAGGTTGGTGACTATATCGTTCTCCGGAAGCTACATAGGCACAGTCATATCAATGCCAGCAAGTGCTTACTTAGCGACAGAACTGGGATGGCCGAGTGTCTTCTACGTTTTCGGTGCTATAGCTCTAGTATGGTATGTATTTTGGTGCTTTTTCGTATCTGAGTCACCAATAGACGATCCACGAATTTCCCAAGACGAGCTAGAATACATCAAGCACTCATTGGGAAATGTTGAAGCCAAACGCGATATAAAGCATCCTTGGAAACAAATTTTGACTTCAATTCCAGTGTGGGCTATCATTGTGTCGCACTTTGTGGACAACTGGGGGTTTTATACTCTTTTGACACAGCTTCCCACTTTCATGAAAGGTCGGTCTAATTCTAACACCACTGACCGACCTCCTTAATAGGGCTTTTTCAGATATGTTTGACTATGATTTGGGTAAAACGGGTTTTCTGTCTGGTCTACCCTATCTGGCTATGGCCATAATGATGCAGTTTTCCGGACATTTAGCTGACTGGCTTCGTGAGAAGAAAGTTTTCACTACAACACAAGTCAGAAAAATTTTTACTTGCACGTCTTTCATATTGCATGCGATTTTTATGGTGGCAGCTGTTTATTTGACGACAGCTGCAGGAACTGTTGTCTGCTTGGTTTTGGCTGTTGGTTTGGGAGTTTGTACTTGGTCAGGATTTGGGTAATAATTTAAATCTTGATTAGCTTTCATTTTTCACAGTGTGTTTGAATAGGGTTAATTATTTAGACGTCGCTCCACAGCATGCCAGTGTTCTTATGGGTATTAGTAACACTTTTGCTACTTTGGCAGGAATCTTAACGCCTTTGGTTACTGGTTTTATTGTCACGACTTCTGTAAGTTTCACTAAGTTGTAAACAAAAAGAATGTTGCGACTTTTTGCAGAGTCCTCATGAATGGCAAATTGTTTTTTGCATAGCTGGAGGTATATTTGTGTTCGGGAGTATTGTATATGGGATATTTGCCTCAGGTGATATACAGCCTTGGGCTGTTGAGACAGAAGCAACGACCGAAAAAGAAAATATCGGATACGAAAATAAATCTTACGAAGAAGATGTAGAAAGTACAAACTAGAAGAACAATTACATAGGTGTATTAATTATAGTGAAAGTTGTAAAATCTCTATACTAGCAGTATCAACAAAAGACACTTCTTTTAAGTTATACGATTCATAACTAGTTTTGTTGAAACCCGAAATTTATTTCTACGTAAAATACATGGAGTAGTTTGGACATGTCACATACTTGGATAACAGAAATTTGTTTCTCAGCAACTTCAAAACCTGAATTATTATTTGTGTTCAGATGTTCGTTTTTAATAAAAAAATAAAATAAACATGGAGACAATATTATTTATCAAAAATAATTCTATTTGTTGTACATCTTCTGTACATGCAGGTTAGTAGATAAGTCTTCAGACATTTATTTATTCCTTGCCTTTACTCCATAAATCCAGGTACTGAGTAGATGGTATTTTCAATTATAATATAACAAGTGATATGATTATTATCGATAATATTTCGAGTGAAACCGAGCTGCAGATTCAACGAGTGCGAAGCACGAGTTGAATGTGCTGCTTCGGTTTCACGAGCCATATCTTCGATTATTAATCATATCACGAGTTATATTCAACATGAGAATATAATAAATGAACATATTTTTTGATAATAGAATTGGTTTCGTCGTTTTGAGCTTGCTCCCAACGTTGGCAAGCCATAATAGACAAAAAAATTTATGAAATTCTAAAATTTGTCAAATTAGACAGTTTTTAAATTTAGGTAGCAACAGACCACAATAAGGCAATAAAATTATTATCGCTGTGATAGACATGTAACTAAGGGCATGGACAAATTCTATTGGAAGAAATGGGGTCATGTGATCCATGAATTATATTCTCAGCATTAATTGTAATGGGTTTACTTAAATTTCGAATTTTCTCTAATAAAGGAATTATGTGTAGTAATATTAAATTTGCGTCACATAAATCCAATAGCGTGATAGAATAATTAAAAATTAAGAATTTTTGCTCTACTGATGTAAGCAAAAATTTCAAGGACCAACTGGTGAAAATATTTTATTCGCTCCTAGAAGATTAATTCTGTAAAATTTTTTTTGTAAAATCTGAAGATATTATTGTTTTCTTCTTTTTTGTGTGTTAAACAATCGCTTAAAACTCCTCACACTGACAAAGTAACGTATTTTAAAGACCCCTGTCATATTAAATATTTATTACTAGTACAATTTAGTTAAATAATAATGTCTTTATTAAAAACAAGATATACTATAAATTAATTCAAAATACGTCGGATGATTTTAACAGGCGTATTAGTGGAGGATGGGCGGGGCTAGTACTTGCTAAGATAAGACTGATTTTGGCAAATGACACACCCTCCAAGAAAACAGAGGGTGGGTGGGCGGGGCTAGTATTTGGTAAGATAAGACAGATTTTAGCACTTTTGACATTTTCCACCATTTTTCAACTATTTTTTCAGTTTGATTAAAATAGCGCGGTTAAAAAAATTTGTAGATAAAAAAGGAAATTATTATTAATTTTTGTTTCACAAAATACAATTGTTTTAAGAATGTGCTTTGTACTTTTCATATATTTATTTGCAGAAATATTTAAAATTTGTTTATTTGAGACAATAGAGAATTCAGAACAAGTCCAGATGCATGAGATAAGAAATAAATTTTATAGCAAATTATTGTATAATAAAAAAAGTTAGTTATGATTAGCGCTTTTTTTTACTTTTTTTTTCATGTCCTAAATTCTATTAGTTTCCACTCCCACTCGATAGAAGATCATAATTGTCTATCGTGATAATCAACCATTTATCACCCTGTTCTGGCAAATTCAATTCAAATTCAGGCCGTTCTAAAATCACTTCCGTTTCATTTACTCAAAATAAACGATTAAACTTCAGGAAAACGAATTTTATTACTCTATATATAATGATCTGCTTAACATGAACTGGTCCTGGCTAGAAAGGCAGTCTGAAATAAACCACTTTACGCTTTTTATAATATTCTGCACAAATTTTTGGAAAATTCTGATCCTCAAAATAAAATACAAAAATTTTAGTATCCCGCTTGGTTTACCTCTAGTGTTAATTCTAAATTAAAACTCAAAAACACGTTTTTTTAACTAGAAAATCTACTATCGCAAATCTCATGACCGTGATGTAATATATTTCTTAGAATTTGGATAACTGTGGACGTGATCTACATTGGACTTTCCACTAAATGCTTGCTACTAAATAAACTCAGTATTTTAGTATGTTTCCATCATTTAGTAAACTTACTGAATCCTACGTAGTGATACGAACCAATTCTTTTATAATCGTTACATATCATATGAGTATGATTCAATGTTAGATGTACCTCAAGGTTCCCACCTGGGACTTCTTCTTTTTATACCGTTTATCGACGACTTACTGAGATCACTTACATGTACTAAATTTGGATTGCAAATGACTTGAACTTGACTCGTCTATTGTTAATCTTAATGAAATGAGGGTTCTTCAGACAAATTTAAACAATAATATCCTTTTAAACATTATTAAATGCTACTTTGTGACTTATACTCGCACAATTAATTTAATTTGATTTCGTTGTACATGTATAAAAATACGTATTTTTCTCGTTCATGGGAAACCCACTAGTTTGGTTCAGTTAATTAAATAAAAAATATATAAAATTTGATTTTGCAATTTTCGTTTTGTGATCATCTCTATAAACAAAAAAATCAGCGGAATAAATAACACTCTCACAGCCGCCGAGCCATGGCAGAGCAAATTCCAAAAACGCCGCACAAATATCGACAAAGTAAAATATATTTAATGTAGATAATCAACGGGAACAAATGCTCTCAGCAATAATAACACGCTTAACTTCGAGTGTTTATGTTTATGCATCGAAAAAATATCATGTTGAAATTTGTTTGATTCGAATGCATTTTTGATTTTTTTTTTTTTGGTTTACCAACTTTACAAAAATCTTGGATATAAAAAAATCATAAATGCACTTTTAAGTCGTCGGAAAGGATATCGATCTAATTACGGTTATGGTACATGGAGATTTTTTTTTGTAAATTATTTAAAACAATTTTGGGGGACTTTGGTGTTCTATTTTTGGAAAATTCTGACGTGACCTGTTTTTGAGTTAATTTTGGAATTGAAAAATTTTAAACAATCTTGAGGTCTTAGGTATTCGTGTTCAGAAAGAATTTGAAAATGCTTTGGAGCTCTAGTGTCATTTGCTTACAATAATTTAATTACATTTCTTAGAAAATACGTCATTTGCTAAAAATAGCCTTATCTTAGCAGGGACTAGCCCCGGCCGACCACCGATATTCTTAGAGGGATCTCATTTGCCAAAATCAGTCTTATATTAGCAGGTACTAGCCTCGCCCACACACTTTCTCTTTTTTTACAGGGTGTCATTTGCAAAATCAGACTTATCTTAGCAGGGACTAGCCCCGGCTACCCACCCTCTCTTTTCTTAGAGGGTATCTCATTAGCCAAAATCAGTCTTATCTTGGCAGCTACTAGCCCCGCCCACCCACCCTCTCTTTTCTTAGAAGTTATGTCATTTGTTAAAATCAATTTTACCTTAGAAGGTACTAGCCCCGCCCATCCACCCTCTATTTTCTTAGAGGGTATGTCATTTGCCAAAATCAATTTTATCTTAGCAGATACTAGCCCCGCTCACCTGTCCTCTATTTTCTTAGCGGGTATGTCATTTGCCAAAATCTATCTTATTTTAGCAGGTACTAAGTCCGCCCACCAGCCCTCTACATTGTTGGAGGAATCTCATTTGCCAAAATCAGTCTTATATTAGCAGGTACTAGCCCCGCCCACACACTCTCTATTTTCTTACAGGGTGTCATTTGAAAAATCAACCTTATCTTAGCAGGGACTAGCTCCGCCTACCAACTCTCTCTTTTCTTAGAGGGTATCTCATTAGCCAAAATCAGTCTTATCTTGGCAGCTACTAGCCCCGCCCACCCACCCTCTCTTTTCTTAGAAGTTATGTCATTTGTTAAAATCAATTTTACCTTAGAAGGTACTAGCCCCGCCCATCCACCCTCTATTTTCTTAGAGGGTATGTCATTTGCCAAAATCAATTTTATCTTAGCAGATACTAGCCCCGCTCACCTGTCCTCTATTTTCTTAGCGGGTATGTCATTTGCCAAAATCTATCTTATTTTAGCAGGTACTAAGTCCGCCCACCAGCCCTCTACATTGTTGGAGGAATCTCATTTGCCAAAATCAGTCTTATATTAGCAGGTACTAGCCCCGCCCACACACTCTCTCTTTTCTTACAGGGTGTCATTTGAAAAATCAGCCTTATCTTAGCAGGGACTAGCTCCGCCTACCAACCCTCTCTTTTCTTAGAGGGTATCTCATTAGCCAAAATCAGTCTTATCTTGGCGGCTACTAGCCCTGCCCACCCACCCTCTCTTTTCTTAGAGGGTATTTCATTTGCCAAAATCAGTCTTATCTTGGCAGCCACTAGCTCCGCCCACGGACCCCCTTTTTTGTTAGAATGTATGTCATTTGTCAAAATCAATTTTAGCTTAGCAGGTACTAGCCCTGCCCGCACACTCTCTCTTTTCTTGCAGGGTATCATTTGCAAAATAAGCCTTATCTCAGCAGGGACTAGATGCAATCTGCTTCTTTGGTGATACCTATTAAGAGTGAGTATATGTCTTTTCATTTAATTATTTATCAGTCAACAAGTAATTTACCTAACAATAATTTCGTGGTTGAGCTCTGTCCAAAAAGTTGGGGTCACAAGATATTTGACTCACAATTCCCAACTAACAAGTTCGCAACAACAGACCCGTATTCTCATCACTAGAGAGCGGATTTTATGAAATTTGCATATCCGTTATTTTTTGCATATAAGTCTTGATATTTAATTTGTGAACGAATCATGCTAATTAAAAATAAATACAGCTATAAAAAAATTGCATATTTGCATATATTTGCCTTCTGCTGCATATTTTACGTAACGGGTGCATATTTTGCATTTTTATCAATTTTTGTGCTACTTTGAAAATTTATCCTATTATTTTTCATTTTTCTAGACCGGTAAGTACGCAGTTTTTCTATTTACAAATACATACTAGAGAATCACAGGAAAAACTTTTTGTTACAATATTTCGAAAAATATTTAAAAACAAATTGTTACCAAAATAGTAATTAAACAGTTGATTACCACTATTTTTTAATTTGTTCTGTTTGTATTTATTTTTTAGTAAAAGTGTGATCTATGTGTTAGTGTGATTTATGTGTTAGTGAGATATAATTAAACACTTTGCAATGTGATTTATGTATTTTTTGTAATAAAACGTAAGCTCGGGAAACCTGTTTTTGTGATTTGTAAATAAATTTAGTTCGCTTATTCAGCTTTTTTTTTTAATTTTTGGAGCATATGCAACTGCATATCTCTGCATATATTAAGAAAGTTACTGCATATTTGCATAAATTTGGTACATATCATATGATCATATTTCCCAAAATTTTGCTGCATATTTTCCGCTCTCTACTCATCACACTCGGTACAATCGTTGTTATATTAACAATAATGTTACGCTCGTTTGAGGGAGACTATGGCGTCGGATGCGATTCATTTTGTTTAAACACTTGCCTCTACCAATTTTTAAAAATATTATTTTACCAACAGCACGAAACAACAAGTGACCAAGAGGTTTTTCTTAAAAACTATCTGCATTGACGTGCATTCCATTCCCCCTCTACACTAAGCCCAGGGTTGTATTCTTCTACATATGGTTAGCTATGTCCCGGACCGACATGTTTTAAATATGGGATCGGGCCGCTGCTTTTTGAGCACGAAATTTAAATTTGAAAAGTCAGGACACCACACTGTAAAAGTACGGTATCGATTTTCAGTTTCTGAAAAATTTTGCTGGCACCTTTTCTCACAAGTCCTTCTTATTGTGTATTGTGGTCGCCTTGCTTTTGTGTAAATTGTTTATTTCAAGATTTAGTATCCGAGTTTTTGCCGATAGCTGCCACCAAGAATGCCCCTTAGGTCCCGGACCTAAGAAAGGCCGCGTCAGATTCAGAGAATTAAGGGATAAATGAGATGCGATTTCGCTCCATATGTTATCTATTAATAAATTAATAATACAGCTTAGCGACTACAAACGAGGTAAGGTAACTAACGGCGAATATGGAATGATTATGTCTGAAAAAAACAATGAGCGATAAAATCTCATCTAAGAGTACGAATTAATCTTATGCTTAAAAAAGTACTAAGCGATTGTATTTATGATTTATGAACATTAAACTAGTGTAAGTAAACAAGCAGGGTTTAACGGGGTTTCAACGGAGGATTGTTGGGATTGCGGCTTGTCATGGTTTGATCGGGATCGTTCTTCGCTATCTTTGATGGTAATCGCTTAAGCCACTTTTCACATTGAAGCCTTTATCTGTCCGTGGATTTAACTAGCTCTCAAACGGATGAACCGATTTCAATGCGGTTTCTTTTATTTGAAAGCCGGTTCAATCGAGAAGGTTCTTACGAAGTGGTTTGATGAATAACTTGGTTCGCATCGTCTTAGAGAGTGAAAGAAGAAAGGGCAGTAACTGCATATGTAGACTTCAAGAAGACTTCCTATAGATGACGTTTCTTTAATGTCAAGTCATTAGAAATCCATTTCTCTTGATTTTGTAGCCGGAAAGGGCGAGAATAGTTCATAAAAGCTCAATTCCCATAATTTAGTCTCCATTAGACCACCCACCAGAAATGCTGGAAAATTCCTTCGAGTTGTCAACTTTGATCAAAAGTGTTGTATTTGAATCCCGGGTCCTCTATGATCAGATGCAATTTTGCATATTAATTGCAATGGAAGTGATTTGATTCGATTGAGTCTGGATAATAGACATTACCCTTATGTGATGATGAAATGTATTCAATTGTGATATTCGGGGAACGACATCTTAGATAAAGAGATGAGAATCGCTACTAAAGTGATTGGTTTCTTCCAACAAGATGGAGCTACAACTCATACTATTCAAGAAAATGTTTCTTAATTTTTGGATTCATCAAAGACCTGGTCTACAAACAACAAATTAATAATCTGGAAGAATTAATGGAGCGAATTACCTTAACATGCGATGAAGTAACACCAGACATACTGCGGCATATTTTTAACAACATGCAACGTCGTGTGATTTTATGTATGCAGCAAAATGGTGGTCACTTCTCACACTTGCCGTAGAATTGATAATAACGAATTTCGCCCTTTTTCATAGCCAAAATAAATTGTTTTTCTTTGCAAGTGTCTTTCTTTTTAACTTTTACAGAAAAATTAAGCAGAAATTAAGTCAGCTTTATCCCTCCAGCGATCGAGTTGTCCTCTACACCTACATCATTATCTAAACATTTTTCAAAAATATTGTTACAATGATCGTAGTTTAAAATCGGCGTGGGTAAAACTCAACAATTTATTTCTTAGTAATTCAAATTTATACTACTAATCAATCACACAGCAATTATGTACACAATTCCGACTGGAAAGGACTTGACTAGACTCTACTTCTCCCATTATCTAGACTACACTAACTGCTCCCGACGATGGTTCCCGTTTAAACATCACGCGATCCTTCTCGAACAGTCGCCGTCACCGCTTCTAGGCTTGTTCTGAAGCATCGATTGCGACTTCCGCTTCCAGGCTTTTCTTTACCGAGCGCCGTCCGGCCGCTGTTACCGACGATGAGTCATCATCGCCGCACATACTAGAAAACCCATAGGCGCCGTACTGGAGCGGCGTATGGGTTTATTTCGTAACAGTATTTTGTAGTTATGCAACTAACAATTACAATTACCTTCCAATCATTATCGTAAGCGCGTGAAAATAATTTTGAAACACCTTGTATAATGCTAAATTCAACAATAATGTTACCGTAGTTAGGTACTTAAAATAAAAGCTTTTAACATGAAAAATGTTACAACCCATTTCGGAAAAATATGTCAGCATTTAACATTTTCCAGATACAGAAATCTTATTAAATCTTATTTGATGGGTAACACATTTTGTATTAACGTGTTAAATACATTGTAACCCATACTTCGATGTAAATGCATAGCAAATAATTAGATAAATAATTACTTAATTATGTAAAGTGATCCTCACGCAAACTTGTTTTTATTTAACGTTATAGTTCATCGTAATAATGAAAATATTATTTTCAATATATCACGATTGTACATCACCCCTGATTATTTAAATCCTCACTAAATTAATATTTTTTCTACAGTATTTTACGCATTCGCTTAAAAATGTATATACATTTGAACAAAAATAGATTTTCTTATAGTCTACAATTATTTAACGGTCAATTTAAATAAATATATACATACATAACTACCACAACACTAGAAATTCATGTACAAATTACTTCTAATTATGTATTTAAAGGTATCGTTTGTTCTTCAAAAGCAACGTTACCTTTTCGTCGCATTTTTGTACATCTTCTGCGTATAACTACACATATACACAAGCTAATCGCTATCAAACATAAACCCATTGATATACAAATCGTACGAAAATTTACAAGCAATTTCACCAAAAATACAAGTAAACCTTGTTGTATTTCGAAGGAGTAGCTAACCCACCAGATCGGACAGAAAAATTTTGGGGCATTTTCAAACATTCTGCAAAAAATATAAAACAATAACAAAACAACTAAAATCTAAAACTTACGATAGACCAGAAACTGGTTGTACTAGCAAATTAGCTTGCAAAGCGACGTTTCCTTTCAGAGGTATACCAGTCGTCTAAAATTACATTTCTGTAAAAAATGTACCTTTTAAATCATAAAAAATACATACTGGTTCAACTATCAAATAAAACTCGTGTTTGCTTTTATTAGGCTCTAAACCATCTACCAAATTAACATAATAGGGATCGGCTTGATAAAAGTGAGGCAGTGATGCAAACGCGGGAAGATTGTGCCTTAGCCTTGTAACATTGATGGTACCAGAAGGTACGCATTCGCCAGTACAAACGCATCTATTTTTTGGGTAATTTGTTCCTAAAATTTTGCTCTAAAATCTATCAATAAGTTCCAAAGTAGTACTTACCGTTGTCGAGGGTTCTTTCCCCTATTACATACTTGTAACCTAATATACTGTTAACAGTTTCTTCGTTTTCAAATGTTAAATTTGCATTTCCTCCCATATCCGACATAAAATATCTCAGAATGTCCTTTTTTAAGTTTCTTGGAAAGTACTGCTCAGCCGAACCGCGAACATCGGCACAAGCATCGTCGTAATATTTTGATTTATTTTGATAGTTCCAGAAATGAATGTAACCAAAAGGTGCATTTTCTCCAGTACCCATGTTCAAAGTCCCTTCGAATTCAGATGTGCCATTTCTCTAAAATCTGGTCTACGAAAAGAGTCAAACCTTTTCTGTACTTACTTCGTAGAAGTAACCAAAAGCGTCCCAATTTGGCAATTCGAAATGGGAGAACAAAGGAGTCGCTGCGGCGATTTTAATTAACGGTTCTGGGTAACCTTCGAACAGTAAATTTCCCACAGATTGCGTCATATAGTGTTTCCGAAAAAATGGCGATAACGTCATGGAAACAGCTTTTTTTGTGTAATAATTCCAGTCTCGTAGTAAATATGATGCAATCTAAAAAACAGTATTCATGTAACAGACAATAATAAAAAAAATAGTTACTAAAGGCACAGGATCCAAGGTAACTATCGGATCCTCGAGATTAACACCCCCATTCTGCTTCTGATGAATCCAATATTTTTTTTGTTTAAACGTCACTGTCCCGTTGTCGTTCCAAGTGATGTTTATTTTTTCGGTTTTTTGCAGAAACGAGTAAGGTCCTACTTCTTCAAATTTCGGTTTAACAGACAAATCGTAAAAATCTTCTGGGTTTGTCCAGTTGAAAAAATAAAAATTCGCGTGAATGTCCACTTGGTCATTTTTCCAGTACCGGTAAATAAGCGAGTTGTTGCGCAATGTCATCAGGTTATCGAAAATCACAGGCCACAAACAAATTAACAAAAATCCACAAACGCCTAATACAGCACTTGCGGCGCACGAAGAAACAGCAATGACCGTCATTTTCTGAAATCATACATGCTTATTGGTAACTGCTATTTAAATACACGTAATATAGCAGAAAAATGAATACGAGGTCTGTATTAATTATAATCTTTACATTGTATTAAAGGATGAACATGCAAGTGCACATATTCACAAGACAAACCACTTCAACTTCGTCGTAACGGTACCAGGAAAAAACAAAGTATATAATTGTAGGTATGCGTGTAGAAACCCCTGATTAAATGAACACTTATTAATAATTATTTATGCTATATACCATACTTCACGCCAGGTTTTTCATGCCTTGTGACTTAAGCTGTAACATTTTAAGAAATTAACAAATTCGTCGCTTGTTATTACACAGAACTTCTCTCGCCCCTGAAGTCTAATCAAAGAAATCCAGACTTTTAGAAAAAATTGTAGCAAATATCAGTCACAATGTAAGAACTAAAGGCGGATTCATAAACCATAAGTATGTTGTTTTATAAAATTTATTTAATATTTAGCGTACAAAATTTTTAAGTGATATCATCAACTTTAATTGGCGTTTTACCATCTACAAGATGTTCCCAAGCTACACATAAAATTTGACAAGAGTCGGTTGTGTGGTTTCTGAGATAATTTGTCTAATAAAAATCTACACAGAAAAGATTAATTCTGAATGTCAACTTCTAAGATGCTCTTTTGATAAAACTTTTGCTTTCTTAATAAAGTGGAGCTTTTCATATTCTAATCTATTTCCAAAAAACATGTCAAATTTTCAGAATACAGGACTTCTATTTGGTGGCTAACACATTTTGAATTAACATTTTAATACATTCGAAAACTTCTGTCGCAATACATTCTAACATTATAACACACATTCTGATAGACATAATTGCAGTTTTTATCAAAATAATTGGATCTACCATTACATAATTACGTGCAGTGAGTTGATTCTCACGCAAACTTTGTTTTCTACTGTAATTGATGCTAACAGTGGAAATATTATTTTCAATATACCACGATTGTACCTCAATCGTAAATGTTTAAATATCTGCTAAATTTTTATTTTTAATTTTAAAATACTTTAAAAAATTGGTCTAAAGAGTTTAGACAGTACTTCCCTCGCTGTCGGAAACTTGACGACTGCATGCCTATTGTGTTTTTTTTCTCATTACATTTTTGTAGTGGCAATTTAAAAAAAAATTGTGATGACGTCATCAACATTTTTGCAAGGACACGTATATCAGTTGGGATAGATGTAGTGTAATACTAAGAATAAAATTATTGTATTTCCAAATTTTCGGGAAAATGAATTGGGTCGTTTTGAATATTGATTTCTTATAATCAATAAAATAACGAAACAATTTACTCAGGTATACGGCGCCTTTTTTTGAACCACCTCTTAAGAAAATCTAAAAAATATGAATGGAATGATATATCACAAGTACAAACTCATAATATTTTTTGCATTTTAGATAGGATTTATTCAGCAAAATTTAAGGGTGACGTCATCAATTTTTTTAGGAGGGATGAACAAATACATTTTGAACAAAAGTTTACCATGCTTATAATAACTTTAAAATATTCCCAAGATTTCGAAGCATTCGGTTTTGTAATTCCTGATTAAATCGATAAAATAAATTCACGCCTTCATTATTTTTTTTGAGTCACCCTGCATATGCAAATCCAAAAATATGAATGGAATGATAAATCACAAGTACAGACTCATCATATTTTGTACAATTTAGATACGATTTATTCGGCAAACTTTTGAGCTGACGTCATCAGTTTTTTGTAGAAGATAACCAAATATATTTTGACTAAAAATTTATTATGCTCTTTATAACCTTAAAACATCTGCAAGATTTCAAAGCATTTGGTTTTGTAGTTCCTGATTAAATCAATAAAATAAATTTACGCATTCATTAATTTTTTTGAGTCACCCTGTATACGCAAATCGAAAAAATTTGAATGGAATGATAAATCACAAGAAGAGACTCACCATATTTTGTACATTTTAGATAGGATTTATTCAGCAACATTTTGTGGTGACGTCATAAATTTTTTAGGGGGGACGACCAAATACATTTTGATCAAAAATTTACCATGCTTATGATAATTTTAAAATATCTTCAAGATTTCGAAGCATTCGGTTTTGTAGTTCCTGAGTAAATCAGTAAAATAAATTTACGCTTTCATTTATTTTCTTGAATCACCCTGTATATGCAAATCCAAAAAATATGAATAGAGTGATAGATCACAAGTACAGAGTGATCATATTTTGTACATTTTAGATATGATTTATTCGGCAAATTTTCGAGCTGACGTCATCAAGTTTTTGGAGGGGATAAGCAAATATATTTTGACTAAACATTTATTATGCTCTTTATAACCTTAAAACATCTGCAAGATGTCAGAGCATTCCGTTTTGTAGTTCCTGATTAAATCAATAAAATATATATATTTACGCATTCATTAATTTTTTTGAGTCACTCTGTATATGCAAATCCAAAAAATATGAATGGAATGATAAATGACAAGTACAGACTCATCATATTTTGTAGATTTTAGATATGATTTATTCGGCAAACTTTCGAGCTGACGTCATCAAGTTTTTGGAGGGGATAAGCAAATATATTTTGACTAAACATTTATTATGCTCTTTATGACCTTAAAACATCTGCAAGATTTCAGAGCATTCGGTTTTGTAGTTCCTGATTAAGTCAATAAAATATATTTACGCATTCATTAATTTTTTTGAGTCACCCTGTATATGCAAATCCAAAAAATATGAATGGAGTGATAAATTACAAGTACAGACTCATCATATTTTTACAGTTTAGATAGGATTTATTCGGCAAACTTTCGAGCTGACGTCATCAATTTTTTGGAGGGGATAAGCAAATATATTTTGACTAAACATTTATTATGCTCTTTATAACCTTAAAACATCTGCAAGATTTCAAAGGATTCGGTTTTGTAGTTTCTGAGTAAATCAGTAAAATAAATTTACGCATTCATTAATTTTTTTGAGTCACCCTGTATATGCAAATCCAAAAAATATGAATGGAGTGATAGATCACAAGTACAGACTCATCATATTTTGTACATTTTAGATATGATTTATTCCACAAACTTTTGAGCTGACGTCATCAAGTTTTTGGAGGGGATAAGCAAATATTTTTTGACTAAAAATTTATAATGCTCTTTATAGCCTTAAAACATCTGCAACATTTCAAAGCATTCTGGTTAGCAGATTAAAAATTAAATTTCAAAATGTTGTTTTATAATTTTGATTTTTTTTCCAAAAATCTGGACGTTTCGGGTGAAAAGTCGATTCAGAGTTGTAAACTACATGTGTAGGACTATGTTATTTTATACAATTGAAAACCCATTTACTATGTACAATTTTGAAGTGGTGGGGATGATTAGACAAATTTTGGTTAGCGTTTTACCGTCTACATGATATTCTTAATATAAGTACAAAATTTCACAACAATCGGTCGAGTACTTTCGGAGATTATCTGTTTAATAAAAATCCGGGACGGCAGACGGACGGACAGACGGACGGACAGACGGACAGACGGACAGACAGACGGAAATGGGAGACCTATTTCTTCGTCTTCTAGGGGTCATGAAAGATCGAGAAAACGTAAAAGTAGAGAGTCGACCGACGGACTCGATTACAATACTTCCTTTGCTTACGCTCGGGAAGTAAAAATAAAAAAATATATTAATGTAACTTTTATCCCTATAACGCCGAAAACACACAAAATATTTATAGACGCGCTTCGCCAACAACGTTGGGATTATCTACCAAAGCTAACCTTTATTCCTAAAATGGTGTGTTCACTCACTTGCCTTTCCCCTAGCTAATATCATGCAAACTTCTTCTCATACCTGTAAAATACTTTTAAAAATTTTCAAATTAATTTATATGATTTATCTCAAAATTTGGATTTTTAAAAAATTCGATTTTTATTCGTTAAGGAAAAAATTTATTTTTTATACAAAATTATTATTGGAGTCCGCATTCTGTGCAAAATGTACTATAGGAACACTTTCTGTACACGAGTGATCCGATACGTGTCAGGTCATGGCGAGTCAGGTCAATTCAGTCAGATCAGATTTCTTTCACGAGAATTTTTATCAAAAATGAATCAACAAAGTTAACTGAATAAATTTTTTAAGCACCTTATAAAATAAATTTACATTCAAATAATAATAATAAAATAAATATTGTGTAAAAATGTGAATCCTAAAAATCTTTTGACTTTACCAGATAAAGTTGGGAGGCTAACAATCTAAACGTACTCGCTGCGCTCGTATTCTAAGAAAATAGCAGAAAGAACTTTTGAAATGCGAGCGCACCGAGCACATTCAGGTATTATAAAAAAAAATATTTAATGGTGTCCCTGAGAAGCTAAATTATTACGAAAAATTTTATTGTTTCTAAAAAGGTAAGTTTAAAGATTGTGATCACAGAAATAGCCTGCTCGTGCTGGTTACGCTCGTATTTTAGAGATTGATTATTTTAAGGTAATTTACCTTGACGGAAACAATAAAAACTGAGTAGTCTTGAAGATCGTTCACTTGTAAATGAACGGAATGATAAATCACAAGTATAGACTCATCATATTGTGGACATTTTTTTAGGTAGGATTTATTCGGCAAAATGTTGAGGTGACGTCATCAATTTTTGGGGGGAGACAAGTAAATATATTTTGAATAAAAACTTATCATGCTTATCATAACTGTAAACCATCTGCAAGATTTCAAAGCATTCGGTTTTTCACATTCAAAATTAAATTGCAAAATCTTGTTTTATAATTTTGACATTTTTTTCCAAAGATCTGAACTTTTCAGGTAAAAACTCAACACATAGTCATAAACTACTTGTGCAGCACTATGTTATTTTATACAATACAATAGTACTTTCGGAGAATTTCATGGCAAAAGAAAATCCGGCTGGCAGACAGACAGACAGCTAGAGAGACGGATAGACGGACAGATGGAGAGACGGACAAATGGACTGACAGACAGCAGACGGGAACGGGAGACCTATTTCTTCCTACTCTAGGGGCATGAAAGATCGAGAAAACGCAGAAGTAGAGATTCCGAGGGACTGGATTACAATACTTATATAAAATATAAGCCCCACCCACCCGCCCTACCTCAATTCTGATTTTTTTTTAATCGTCGTGAATCGAGGGCGAAGCATAATTGTAGAATCCTTATTTTTCTACAAGAAATTACCATCTGATATATGATATGATTAAATCTGGAATGGCTCACTGCATTTTCCCGAAAATTTGGAGATACAACACTGTTATTATTAGTATTACATTGCACCAACCCAATTTGATAGACACAAAATTTTGTAAAGTAAAAACTTGTTCGAAACATAGGCGTAGCACGTTTATTTACATTTAACATTACAGACGTGCATTTGATTTGTTGCGCTGACTAGGTTCCGTGAATGTGGTATAGACAAGTTATAATAATTAACCAATTCTGAATTACACCATCAAACATTAAAATAAAATCCAATGTTTTATATAAAAAATGGAAGTCGAAGCAATAAAAAAGTCTGGACGCCCATCGGCATTGTTTGCAGTTTCTCTGTTTCACTCTCACGTACACAGTCTGAACAAGTGTTGCGACGAAATTCCGGAGGGGACGGAATTTATCATCACGTTAATATTTTTTGGATATGCATATACATAATGACCCAAAAAAATTAATGAATGCCTGAATTTATTTTATTGATTTACTCAGGAACTACAAAACCGAATGCTTTGAAATCTTGGAAATCTTTTAAATTTATGATAAGCATGGCAAATTTTTGATCAAAATATACATATTTGCTCATCCCCCCTAAAAAATGGATGACGCCACCCCAAAATTTTGCTGAATAAATCCTATCTAAAATGTACAACATATGATGAGACTCTTCTTGTGATTTATCATTCCATTCATATTTTTTGGATTTGCATATCCAGGGTGACCCAAAAATGTAATAAATGGGTAAATTTATTTTATTGATTTAATCAGGAATTACAGAACCGAATGCTTTGAAATCTTGCAAATATTTTAAGGTTATAAAGAGCATAATAAATTTTTAATAAAAATATATTTGCTTATTCCCTCCAAAAAATTGATGACGTCAGCTCGAAATTTTGCCGAATAAATCCTATCTAGACTGTACAAAATATGATGAGTCTGTACTTGTAATTTATCATTCCATTTATATTTTTTGAATTTGGATATACAGGGTGACTCAAAAAATTTAATGAATATGCAAACTTATTTTATCGATTTAATCAAGAACTACAAAACCGAGTGCTTTGAAAGCTAATGCGCAAAAAAACATAATAGCCATGCAGTCGTCACGTTTCCGACAGCGAGGGAAGTACTCTCTAAACTCTTTAGACCAATTTTTTTTATTTGTTTTGAGCCGGAGCCGGAGCTTAATTGCAATCCTCATTTTTCTCCAAGAAACTAACCATCTGAAACAAGTTCTTAAGTAATCGTGTTTTTCAAAAAAAATTCATTTGTCAGTAGTGGTTCGTAATTGCAAAATCATCCATCTGAAACATGTTTTAAATTTGTTGTTGAAGAAAAAAGCAAACAATGTATGTATACCTAAAAGGGTTGGTATACAGGCGGCGAATGTAAGCTGTAACGAACGTAGAGAATATTTTCGTAATAATATTATTATTAATAATAATAAATATCGATTTAAAAAAAAAAACACAGTTGCAAAAAGTGCCAACATGTCTGAAGTTGTTTATGTTGTTTATTTTGTTTACGTTTTCTCCGTTTTAGATTGTTTACCATTAAAGGCCCAACCTAGGAAAAGACTTTAAAAATTCAAATTTATTATTGTTTCCCGCTGATTTCAGTCTAGAAAAAACGCCCCGCGAGATATTCAAATGTTATTCAAAATCTTTACCAGTAGTTACTACAATATTATCAAAGAAAATAGTTGTACCTGTAGTTCTTTTATCAATAATTTTTTGAAAAATTGTACAGGCTGATTAAGCCCCAAAAGGCAATCTTCTAACAAGATAAATTCCTTTATGAGTACTCCAAGCTAAAAGTTTACCTGGTTCTCGATCAACCTGTAACTGATTAATTATTTGAGTCAAATTTAATTTACTAAAATACGCATCCCTTGCAAAACTGCGAAAAGTTCTTCAACTTTGGGAATAAGATAATCAACCCCTTCTGTAAATTTATTATCCGTAATTCGATAATCCGCACACTTTTAAGAGTAGGGGAGACCTGTCCAAAACCGTATAGCTAAGCGGAAATGTATATATCTCTGTAATAATACACAATAGAATTGTCAAATCAACATTTTTATTGACCAGTCTTATCAGGTTGTAAGGATCCAATTCGAATTTTTAAATTTCAAACGAATTCCGCGCGCACAAGAAACGGTTGGTAAGAAGAGAAGGTTGGCAACCAACCACCCCAAAGAAAGAGACATGCGCAAAAAGGGCGAGTGTGGTTTTCTTTCTGGTAAAATGCTCCACTTCCCTCTGATCGCTTCAAGCAAACACACCACTTCCTTTTGACCGCTTCGAGAAGACACACCACTTCCTTTCGAGAGCTTCGAGCAACAGGTCGTATTTTTAATTGTGAGTTATTCTGTGCCTTTGCTGTTGTCTTTTTATTTTCCAGTGTTGATCCGTTCCATTGGAAAACCTAGCAGCCCCCGTTGAGCCATTGGGTGTTCCTGATTTCTCATCGTTCTTACGACGAGGTTTTTGTGTTCCTTTTGGCGGTAAGCCGTGTCGAAATCTTCGCATCTTTGGAGAGGTATGTTTTGGACTGGGTCCTGTTTCGCGGCGAGTTTCAAGTCCCGACGGTGCTTCTGACCTCGTGACACATCGACGCGTGCGCTTTTTTCCACTAATCTCGTTTTTTTATCTTTCATCGCAGTAGGGCTTTACAGGAAGTGATTTCTAGTTCGGGCCATGCTTTATTTAGCTATATTTGTGAAATTTGTATTTTGGATGGCGGCAAACGAGTTGTTATTTTCACCGTTCTTTGTTCAGGCAGCAGCCATTTTGAAGCGTCCATTTTGTTTCTTTTAACCGAGCACATGTTTTGAACTATTGAATCTATTGAACAAATTAACAAACATTTTGGGTCATGGGGGGACGTGCCTTTATTCCTTTTATTTAGCCCATCGTTTATCCAACGCCACAGGATTCATCGCATATTTTCGACGCCTATTATTTGGAATGACGAATTCGTCCAACGCCATTTTGGATCTGCAGATTGTCTGCCATGTTTTTTTTATGTGTTTTGTTTGGGGAAATGTATGTGTAATAATGGCCCACAATGTAGCTGAATAATTTCACGTTTTGAATTTTAACCAATAACTTGACTGGACACGAATTATTATTAATCTCATGTAAATCTGTTAACTTTGCAATGTTTCACCTCATGCAATTTGTCTTTATCTCACAATTTTAGCCTCAGTAATTTTCTTTGTTGTATAATTTGAATTGAACGTAAATTTCCATGCTCTGCAGTTTGACCTAACATGATACTTTATTTGCACAAGTTTATTTCATACCAGATCTTTGTTTCATAAAATCATAAATCTTTGCTAAGTTTTGATCATGTAAATAATTTGTTGTTGAATTTTCGTAAGAGTGTGTGGCGAATTTAAATGCTGTGTATTGCTCTTTGTTGAAACTTTAACACTTGTTCGGTTGTCATTTAATATTAGCGTCATAGAGATTGAACATCTAAATAGAATTGGAGGTAAATAACACATAACTCGTAGTGTACGTGGGGCGCGCGACTCCTTCTCAAACTGACGGGATTAATCGCGTCACCTGCACAAGTCCGCGGGTTTTGTATAGCTTCAGGGGGCGATCGCGGGTTTTTAACGCTCACGGTTTCGTGATAGCCGGGACCCAACTACGGATCTGCGATCGTAACCGCCTCGTTTCGCAGGGCACGTTCGTAATGGAGATGTGCGTGTGAGCAGGCTTTGGTGTAGATAGAATCACCGTCGTGGGGGAGAACAGTGACGATCAGGAGTCCCAACCTCTACTTGCGCTACAACGCCCCCTCTGGGTATTTTTCTGTGCTCTTAAATGAAATTGATATATTTTGTTCTATATTTTGTTCGATCGCCACACTCTCATAATGATTCGGGTTCTGCCATCCAATTTACATATGTGTAGGTCTTGTGTTTGTTCGGTTTTCATATGGGTATGTCTGTCAATTCGCGAGTGTTTTTCGTTCATATATCTTAAGGTGTTTCACATGTAATATGTCAGTGAATAAAACCCCAGGGGGTTTTGGGGAATGAAGACCGATGACACCTTGGCCCTGCGGACTCGCCAGAAGGGCAATTTGAGCCTCTGTCGTCGTTCTTCGTTTCTTTTTCCCCCTTAGGAAGGCTTTTGACCAACCTAATTTTGTCTATTATTTCTTGCGCTCTCGACCGTGTATGCACTTGTATGAAAGAACGACTTCCCGCCATTTTTCAAAACCACAAAAAAAAACACACAACGTAGGTTCTCATTTGTTAGACGATCACAGCCAAGGCCAAACTTTGAATTTTGAATTTTTCGCGGGCCTTTCAAACTGTTTCAAGGTCAATTTTAAAGGCGGGAAGTTTGGGTTATCACAAGGTACATAATTGTAAGAACAAAAATCGAAAGATGTAACTTATCTACGAAATAAAAATATTAAAACAAAAACACTTCTAATTACGGTTTTACCCCGTGTACTGTCCAAAACCGTACACAATATACGATTTTGCCCCAACATTCACACCAAACATTTAGTGCACAAAAAATCATCAAGATCATCAGAATCGTAACCTGTACAACCTTCATGGGCCCAACCATTACAGGAAGTACACTGTACCAATCCTCATCCATGCGACTTTGACCATATTTTTCAAGACAGTACAAGCAAAGATCTTTACTATCTCCAGTTTTACTTTCTACTTTATCTTTATTTTTTTTCTTGGTTTCTGACAGATTCAACTTTGTTTTTTTAATTTTCGACTGCGAATTACTTTGAAGCTCGTACGATTTTACCCCGTACGGTTCTGCCCCAAGGTAACCTCAAATGAATATTTTGCTCACCACAACAAACACAAAAAAAATCGGTTAAGACAAACACTGAAAATAATAGTAGAAACACATACAATGATATCGTAAATTACGTACTTACATTGAATTCCGTTAACAGTATACACTTGCAGTGGTTATTTAGTTAATAATTAGATTACAGCACCCGAAAAATATTAAATTTATTTAATTTTGTAACGAGCGTGGCAGCATTAACAAGTTTTTGTCGACAAATGGCTCTCATTGGTAGATCCCATTGACAGAAGTTTGAGTGGCAAATTCAAACAACCAGCAGTTCTAAGGGCACTATACGGTTTTAGCCCGGTATACGGTTTTGGACAGGTCTCCCCTACTATCTTTTATAAAAATATAAGCTAATGGTGTTCCCTAAATATTTATTATCAACCTTTGCAATGATTCCTATAGACTCTAGTTTATCTAATTCTTTTTCTAATAATAGAAAAAATTGGTTTTACGTCTTTTTGTACTTTAATTGAAATCTTTTGATGTTTATACGTTGTTTTACGTTGAACGGTGAATGAAATCGGCGTAGGTAAAACTCAACAATTTATTTCTCCATAACACGGATTTACACGACTACTTACAGAGCGATTATGTACAAAATAATTCCGGCGCAACTTGCCTGGACTCGACTTGTTAACTGAATTCATCTCTCGTTACCTGGACAGCACAAACTACTCCCGACTGTGGTTCCCATTTAAACAGCATGCGATACTTCTTGAAACTCTACATCGCCGCTTCTAGACTCCTCTGGAGCACACATTCAAGACTTCCGCTTCCAGGCTCTTCTCTGACCCCCGTCACCAACAATGAGTCATCGGCGACGTACATACTAGAAAAGCTAAAGCACTTTATTATACAAGCAGACGCATCCGCCATATTGAATCCCAGAATTTTAGTGGGAAATTTGAAATCTAGTAACATTCCAGTTATTATTCCGAGTACGAAACGTCACTGTCAAAAACAATAATTTGCTTAGCCTTTTGTTGTTTAAAGTTCAGATTACAAACATATGTGATTCCTTTTGTTAAATTTTAGCGACGATGAAAAAATTCCGCCATTATAATTTTTCAAAATTAAATATTATTTTATTATATATACACTTTGATTATTAAATTTTTATCATTTTCTATAAATGCGGGTCGCCCGTTTTTCATGGCGAAAAGTGTGTATTGTACGGATTACATTAAAATTTGTAATATGCATAACATATGTATACATTATTTAGCAAAGTGTAGAACTTCAATTTTTTTATCTGTAGTGTAAATATTGCACTAACCTCATAGACTAACCTTTATTTCAAACACGTTGTTCTGTCAACTGTGTGTCAAAGATGTGTACCACCCACAAAACAGTAACGACATATCAACATACCAACCTAGGACTCGAAAATCTTACAGCGTAAAAGTTCCTAAGATGCAAACTTTTATTGCTTGCGTCTGCTTGTATTAATATAGTGCTTTAAGAAAACCCATAAGCGTCGTACCGGGGCGGCGTATGCGTTTATTTCGTAATAATAACAACACAAACTGCCTGAAACAAAAAAAATGATAAATAATTTGTAAGAAATGTTCCCAACAAAAGGTGAGGAACATTTTTTGGGATTTTTGTGTCCAACAGAAGTGACAGGACGTAATTCGCTTCTGGTTTCAATAAAGAAAATTTCGAACAAATAATTCGTAGTCATAATTTTTGAACAAGTTTCTTGTAGTTTCCAAAAGAGGTCTTCAGTTAGTAGAATGAGAATTGAAGGACGAAAAGCAAATTTTGGCGATGTCAGCACCTAGTTATTACAAACGAATTGGAGTTTGGATTTTCTTGTTTTCTTAATTTTATTTTTAATAACAATATAATCTACACTTATTTAAAAGGCTTAATAAAAAATAGCATTACATCATTACAATAAAACTAGAAATTAATCGACTAATACTAGTTACGTATTTAAAGGCACACTTTGTTCTTCAAAGGAAATATTACTTTTTCGTCGCACCTTTATACATCTTTTCCGTATAATAACTACACCCATAAACATACTAATTGTTATCAAACACAAACCCACTGATATACAAATCGTACGAAGATTTACGAGCAACGTCACCAAAAGTACAAGAAAACCTTGTACTTCGAAGGAATAACAGGCCCACCAGATTGGACAGAAAAATTTTGGCGCATTTTCAAACATTCTGCAATAAATGTAAAACAATAATCAAAACAACTAAACTCTTAAACTTACGTTAGACCAGAAACTGGTTGAACTAGCAAATTAGCTTGCAAAGCCATGTTTCCCTTCAGTGGTATACCAGTCGTCTAAAATTAAATTTTTATACAAAATGTACACTTGAAGTCATACAAAAATATACTGGTTCAACTATCACATAAAAGTCGTGTTTGCTTTTATTAGGTTCTAAACCGTCTACTAAATTAATATAGTAAGGATCGGCTTTATAAAAGTGAGGCAGTGATACAAACACGGGAAGACTGTGCCTTAATCTTGTCATATTGATGGTACCAGAAGGTACACATTCGCCGCTACAAAGGCATCTATTTTCTGGGTAATTTGTTCCTAAAATTTTACTCTAAAGTCAATCAGTAAGTACCAACGCAGTACTTACCGTTGTCGAGGGTTTTTTCCCCAATTACATACTTGTAACCTAATATACTGCTAACACTTTCTTCTTTTTCAAACGTTAAATTTGTACTTCCTGCCATATCCGGCATAAAATATTTCAAAATGTTCTTTTTTAAGTTTTTTGGAAAGTAGTATTCAGCTGAACCACGGACATCGCCACAAGCATCGTCGAAGTACCTTGATTTATTTTGGTAGTTCCAGAAGTGAATGTAACCGAAGTCTGCGTTTTTTCCTATACCCATGTTTAAAGTCCCTTCGAATTCATATGTACCATTTCTCTAAAATCTGATCTGTGAAAAATATCAAACCTTTTTCAGTAGTTACATCGTAGAAATAACCAAAACCTTCCCAATTTGGCAAATCGTACTGGGACAACATGGGAGTCGCTGCAGCAATTTTCATTAATGGTTCATAGTAACCTTTGAACAGTAAACTTTCCACAGTTTGTGTCATATGGTGTTCACCAAAAAATGTGGATAAGGTCATGGAAATAACCCTTCTCGTGTAGTAATTCCAATCTCTTAGTAAGTACGAAGTGATCTATGAAAGAAAATAAAGTGAACATAAACATTAGCACTTATAATAAAAAAAGTAAAAATAGTTACTAAAGGAATAGGATTCAAGGTGACTATGGGATCCTTGAGATGAACACCCCCTTTCTGCTTCTGAAAAATCCAAAATTTTTTTTGTTGAAAAGTTACTGTGTCGTTGTCGTTCCAAGTTATATTCGTTTTTTCGATTTTTTGCAGAAAGGAGTAAGGTCCTACTTCTTCAAATTTCGGTTTAACAGACAAATCGTAAAAATCTTCCGGGTTTGTCCAGTTGAAAAAATAAAAATCCGCGTGAATGTCTAATGGTTCATTTTTCCAGTATCGGTAAATAAGGGAGTTGTTGCGCAACGTCAAAAAATTATCGAAAATCACAGACCACAGACAAATTAACAATAGTCCACAACCGCCTAATACAGCACTTGCGGTGCACGAAAAAGCACTAGTGACCATCATTTTTTCAAAACTTATTTTCTGGTAACTCCTATTGAAATGAAATGAAGGCACGCGTAAAATAGCAGAAAAATAAATGTGAGGTCTAATTATAATCTTTAGAATCATATTAAATGATGTACGAGTATACGTTTATGCAAATATACAAGACAAGTTACTTCGGCTTCGTCATAACAGTATTAATGATCAAATTAAATACATGTACGTTTATTGATTAATTATAGACTTCACGCACTGTTATTATTAAGCATTTTAAGGATTTGACAATTTAAAAAAATCTGATATGAACAAAGAAAACCTTTTAGCATTTTTTTTACATTTAAGAAAAACGTAATGAAATAATATAAATAAATAAATAAATAAAAATAAAAACTGGAATCACGTAGCGTTTTTCAGCTTGTTGATTTTACTAAAATTATATTGTTTACGTTATAGAATTACCCATCCATTTTCCTTTGATACTCATCCTAACAATTTTGAACTCTACGACGATTATGCCTGATCTACATATATGTTTGAACTTCTATCAGAAAAACGATAACGAAAGTAACAAATACCAAGAATGTAATTATCTTTACAACAGTGACACAATTAAGACGTAAGTTAATAATGCTAATAAGTAGCGTCACAATAGTTTTTCAGTTCATTTATTTATACTTAAGCATTATAAATATACAGGATTGCTAAAAAGTATGGAAGCAGTTGAATATCTCTGGAATGGTTTGTTGAATCTTGAAATTTGGGCTATACTTAAAAATACTAAAGCTCTATTTTCTATAATTTTTCATACTTTCAACTTCAATTGTTCTCAAGATACAAGGCTAATTTGGTTTTTTAAGTAGCACCACTAGTCAAATCGTCAATTTTTGAATAGAAGATTTTTTTGTGGAATTGTGTAAGAAATAGAGTTTATGTTAATAGACCACAAAGCATCGAAAAACTCCAAGAATGAATATTAAATGTGATTGCTGATATTCCTCCTAATGTTCTAAAATTTGAAAACTTTGTGCAACATATTTTTTATTGCCAGGACGTAAATGGAGAACATTTTCAACATTTGTTAAATTGTTTGGAAACAGTATTTAAATTAATATGTTGCCCTGGCACCTTAATTTCAGTTTATGTACACTGAGCTCTATCATTTTTACAATGATTGGGCACTAGCATAACTTTTGAATAAAGTGTCCTACGCCAGGACTATCATATAATTGTCAAAGCTAGCTACGATTTTCTGATTTTCAGTATTTTTATTTTGACAATTTATTTTACTATGTCGGGAAAAAAATCCACTATTAACAAAAAATCAAATTAGGCCTGTATTTAAAAAATAAATGAAGTATAAAATTTGGAAAAATTGCAGAATTTGGAACTTGAGTATTCCTGGGGGTGCCCAGTTAAAAAAAGATTTAACAAACCGTTTTCGAGATATTCAAGTGGTTCCATACTTTATAGCGACCTTGTATGTAGACGTAAAGAAACAGGAATAATGTTAATCGCACTATTAATTATTTATCTGTCAGCCCTACGTATAAATACTATAGTATTATTTAATTCTTTTCTACATCATTGGCTTTTAATCTGCTAATTTACTGAATAACAAGTTAAAAAACAGAAAATCATACATTTAACTTCAGTTTATAATATATATATATATATCATAATTTTTTACCATTTTGCCACCCTTGTAATAATTGTTTATAAACAAAATCTATCTATAAACCTCATCACAGCAGCTTAATAAAACGTCAACCGTTAACTCAACAAATTATTTGTACAAATATTTCCTTTAAAAGGAAGTTTCTTCATTCATATAATAATTAAATGAACTACATTTTTTATTTATTTTTAAATGACAGTATCAATATTTACGAGACAATCAAAAAGTGAACTGACACTTTGAATTTTCTTTATTTTAAAATAAATGAAATACATTCAAGGACATTTTTCTGCTTCATATGTCTTCATTATATGACGTCTTTGTTTTAATATAAATATGCGACAGCTCGGGAAATCCATAAAACGTTTCTATCTATATTTATGTAATAAATAACTTCCTGACGAAAGCTCAGTTCTGAAAATTGTATGTTTTCCATGAAGTAAGTAGTTTGTCTTCGCATTAAATGGTGTTTCTAATTTGTAAATCATTAATTCATTAACAAGGCACTAAATAATATAGTTGTTATTCCATGGGTTTTTCTGAAATATTAAATATAATTTGAATTCAGTTATTTTAAATTGCTTCTTGAAACGTTGGTAATTTTTTATACACAAAATTTATTTGGTATGCATAAAAAATTATTACTATTAATATTCTTTGAGAATAATATTAACTCGTAAAATATTCCAATAAACAAATCTACTTTCCTTTTAAAATGATAAGTCCATACCAAATCGTTTCTTAATCGCCTTTCCGAAAGCTTTTACCCCAATATCCAAATTAAAAAAAAAAAAAATCAAAATTGTATAACAACAATTATTATAAACTTGTACTTGTGGCTTATCAACATTTTCAAATTTTTTAGAATTATTTGTACAGGGCGACTCAAGAAAATTAATGAACCCAGATACCTATTTTATTAGGATACAGTACTACTATTAGTAGTATTACTCTGCACCTATTCAAATCTATATACCTAGGTGTTCTTGCTAAAATGTTTATGACATTGTCACAAAATGCTTTTATGCAAAAACTCATTTTTTTATATTTTGTAACTTATAAAGGTTACCGCAAAAAAATGAAATTCTCAAAATTATTTTTTTTTTATTTTTCGGAGAGTATATTTTTGAGACAAGTTCTGCCCAGATAACTTGTGATAACCCAAGCATCCCGCCTTAAATTGGCATGTGGAAAAAAAATAAAAAGCCCGCGAAAAATTCAAACATTCAAAAATTTGGCCTTGGCTGAGATCGTTTAACAAAATGCAACCTCGTTGTGTTTTTTTTGTGGCGGAATGCCTCCAGATGCAAGTGGTGGACCCCAAGGTTGGAAAAGTACCGCTAAATAAAACACAAAATATATGGAGGACACAAAATTATTTATTCCTCCACTAACAAAAAAAAAAAAGAGCTGCGACTAAGTTGTTCCGGTTGAAGACACCGCTTAATGCCCAGCTACAAAAAACCACTTTCCAAACTTTGGACGAAATCAAATTAAACGGTCTGAATCAATAAAAATATTTGAGCACGAGTGGAGTTTGGGGCTCCTGGTTGTGATTGTTCTCCTCCCACGACCGTGATTCTATTTTATAGCAAGCACTGTCGCACAGTACCCCTCCATTACGAACATGCCGTACGAGCAGGCCGTTACGGTCGCAAACTCGGGGTTGGGTCTCGACTATTGGGCCAAGTCGACAGCGCCACGTCATCCCGACCTCCCCTGACTTCTATTCTAGAACTGCATCCTTTGTGCAGATGTCACGACCTCCAGTTCATCAAGGAACCGCGAACTCTGCTTCCCCCAGGTGTTATTGTGTTATTTACCTCAATTCCATTTAAATGTTCAATTTCTATGACTCTGATATTAAACTACAACTAAACAAGTGTTAAAGTTTCAAAAGACCAATAAACAACATTTAAATTCGCCATACACTCTCGTGAAATATTTAAACAGCAAAGAATTCTTATCTGAGATTAAGATTGAACATCATACAATTTATGCAATGGAAGCATTAATCAACAAAATATTTAGAAAAAAAAATTAGCAAAAATTTATAAAATAAAAAAAAACAATCTGATGCCAAGTAAAATTTGTGCAGATAAAAAGTTACGCGAGATTAGGAACTACAGAGCAAAAATTGCTAAAGTTAAAATTGTGAGGTAGACAAATTTATGAGGTGAATAATTGCAAAGCTAACAAAATTACATCAGTTTAATGTTTTATACCCATTCGAGTTATTGGTTAAATTTTAAAAGTGAAGTTATTCAGCTGCATTGTGGGTCATTGTTATACGTTCTCCCAAACAAATACAAAAAAAACCATAGCAGGCAATCTGGAGGTTCAAAATGGCGTCGGACGAATGCGTCGTCAAAAAAAATGCGTCAAAAATATGTCTCCCAGAAATGTGATCAATCCTATGGCGCTGTGCAAATAATAATGATCTAAATCGAAGGTATAAACATGTGCTCGGTTTGAAAATACTCGTTGAACATGGCCGCTGTCAGAATAAAGAATTTACTTGATGTTAAATTATTCCACACTTTATCAACGATTCAAACAAAAAACTTACATTATATTAGCTTTGAAAGCTTATATCGTGAACTGTCCCCAGCTTGTCCCAAACAAACACATGCATCAGGCGTTGCGAGAAAAGCTTCTCGGTGATGTAATTTTCCACGTCGCAAGAAAATATTTCGGTGATGTAATGATGATATGATCACGTACCTCAGTTCACAATATTATGAATTCTAATTTGGTAAACAAAGAGTGAATCCTGACTAAGTTAATTTCATGAAAACTCTTGCAAGTGCTCTATCTGATCAAATCTAATGTTTGTTAAATTGTGTTAGAACCAGTTAACGATTAAAATCGTAACATAAACTGTGACTTTGGAAACAACAAAACAAATTTACACCACATGTTAGCGTCGGTTGAAAATTCGCATATTTCCGCTTGGAAAAAACCGTAAGAATTAGGTACGTGTGTTGGGGAAACTGTGGCGTCGTTGTCGTTAGGATTAATTATCGTTAAACAAAGGCTTTCTCTTTTTTATTAACTACCAAACCAACTAAACTTAACCTAGTTAACTCACCACGTGGTTTCACACACAACAAACAAACCAAAAGTGTCGTGTCTCACCTCCCTCTACAAAACGAGCAACTTCTACCAAGCCTCTCACTAGATACTACCAAGGAGAACTAAACGTGCACATGGTTGCCTATGTTTAACGATTTTTCTTGATTAATTTTATTTCAAATTCCATTTATTCAAATGCTATTTCGTGCAGTTGTTAATTTTTTTTCAAATCATTAAAAACATAGGCAACCAGGTGCACGGTAACGCTTGTTGAAAAGTTGGACAGTTAGTAGCGCTTGGGGGATTTTAGTTAGAGAGTTGGTTGTTAGACACAGGGCAGCATGCCGAAGCGTCAGTCTGGATGTGTTTTTATGAATGTAAACACGTGGTAAGAGCTAGTTTAAATTAGTTGGTTTGGTAGTTGATAAAAGGAAGGAAGCCTTTATTTAACGAAAATTAATCGTAATGATGACGACCCAGTTTTCCCCCAACACGTGTAGCTAATTCTTGCGGGCTTTTAATCGGAAAAAAGTGCGGACTTTCGTTGAACACGGACCACGTGATCTAGATCTGTTTTGTTTGTAAATTTACCAATCAAGTTAGTATTTCTTAATCGTCAGCTAGTGCTAAGACAATTTAACAATCAGGATTATTTAAATAAACCACTTGCTAGAAGATTTCATGAAATTCACTTAGTCAGGATAATAATTCTTTGTTTAACAAACTACGAATAAGTTTCTGGATGCATATACGTAAGTGTTACATTATAACACTTCTTAATTCTTCAATTAACAAAATTTATACCGCGAACTGACGGGGGGGTTAAAATAATTTCTTCCCTTAGGCAGTTATCATCGTTATCATGATTACGTCACCGGGGCATGCCCTCACAATGCTAAAGATTGATTATTTCATCGAGGCATATCTTCGCAACGATATAGATTGACTAACTCACCGGGGCATCCCCTCACAAAGCTACAGATTGATTACTTCATCGAGGCATGCCCTCGCAACGCTAGAAATTGATAACATCAACGAGGCATGTCCTCGCAACGCTAGAGATTAATAAAACCATCGCGGTATTCCCTCGCAACGATAAAAATTTACATCACTGAGACGCTTTTTCCTCGCAACGATGACTGGATATTTTTGTGTTTATTTATTATGTGTTTTGTTGGGGTAACCAGTTCACGATATGCTAAACTCTCAAAGTAAATTGTTTTTTTTAAGTAACCAATCACTTAGATCATGATATAATTTGGCGTAATGTAAGCTTGTTGATAAAAAACTTTGCAATTTTTCACCTCATACAATATTTCTCTAATCTCATAGTTTTAACCTCAGTAATTTTCCTGTGTTGTATAATTTTCATTGGACGTAAATTTCATGCTGTGCAGTTTTAACCTCACATAATTTTTAATTGCACAAGTTTATTTCACACCAGATCTTTCATTTTTATAAATCTTTCCTAAGTTTTGTTTTGTAAATATTTTGTTGATGAATGTATCCATCGTATAAATTATTTGATGTCCAATTTTAATCCCACATAAGAGTTATTTGTTGTTTAAAATTTCATAAGATTGTATGGCAAATTTAAATGTTGTTTAACTTTAACACTTATTCAGTTGTTGTTAATATCAGAGTCCTAAGAAATTGAACATTTAAAATGGAATTGAGGTTAAATAACACAAAACACGTGGCAGAAGCGAAGTGTGGTTCCTAGTCGAGCTATCGAGATTTATCGCGTCACCTGCACAAAGGGTACAGGTTTGGATAGATTCAGGGGAGGTCGCCGATGTTGTAACGCTCTCGGCTTCTGTCCAACTGCGGTTGTTCGTCATGGAGATGTGTGATGTGCTGTGTTGGTAGGCTTTGCGATAGATAGAATCACCGTCGAGGGAAGGGAACAGCCCCGACCGGTAGCCCCAAACTCCGCTTGTGCTAGAACGCCCCAGGGGCACTTTTGTTGTGCTGCTGTTAACTGCCGTAACTTTAAAATTTGACGTCACACGCCCGTAATAACTTGTGTATTTGCATCCGGTTACTTTAATTCAGATTTTGCTTTGTTTTTATTAAATTTGTGATGTTCAAATATTTGCATTGATTCCAAACAGATGTATAGGATTTTGTATTTGTTCGTTTTTCATATGTGTATGTCTGTCAATTCACGAATGTCTTTTCTTTCATGTTTTTAAGGTCGGTGAAAATACGATAGGGGGTTTTTGGGCTGAGGTGAGAATGCTCGCAGCTCCTAGAGAGGGGGTGCGAATTTTAGCCCCCTCCCAAAAATTTTGTCTATTATTTCTTGCGCTCTCGACTCGCACGCAGGGTATGCTCACTTGTATGAAAAAACCTCTTCCCGCCACTTTAAAAAAAAACACACAACGTAGGTTCCTTTTTGTTAGACGATCACAGCCAAGGCCAAAATTTGATTTTTTTTTATTTAGAAGAATTTCCATATTATGTCGGTGGAAATCTCATGAGTCATGACCTTAATGTCCTTCCGACTTTGGCCGTATTAAGTGGCTAATTGATGTATTTTTGTCGGTGGTCTGCGATGCGTTTGGTGTGTTGCAGATAGCATTAAAGTATCTACGATATGCAACCAAGTTTTCTCACGTGCATGGAGGGTGAACGCAAAAGATTACGTCCTTATTAAATGATTGTGAATAAAATAGTATACAAACCCTAGCAAAACGACCATTCTTGTGTCTCCAGACTACGCCTCTCAGTAAGTTATAGTTTCTCGACAGGAATGCAATACTTTCCGCCTCGGAATGTAATGTGTTTTTGCCTTTTGATTGCAACTCCAAAAATAATTTTTATCTGAGCCATTTTTTATAAGTAAATGGAAAGATTTCATCTGAACTATGTTTTTTGAAATAGTTGAAAAAATGCTTCTTTTGATGCTCTTACAAGCAAAATAGAATGAAAAGAGATTTTATCTGAGAATATAAGAAAAACTTGACTGGGATTTATATCAAGCTTTCAAAAATTATCAGAAAGTTTTATGACAGAATCCCAAGATAATGTTTTTGAAATTATAGTTTTGTTTTGTCAAAATTTACTGAACGAAAATTTGAATTGAAGAAATTTCACATGTAGAAGAGGTCCAAGAAACGATCCTTGAGGCACTTCCAACGAATCGACAATATTAATTGACATAGAACCAATATATTTAACACACTGTGTTTTATTAAATAAATAAGAAATCCTCATTTTAAGTAATGAATCAAAATAAAAATAATTAAAAAAAATACAACAAAAGTTCGATTTTAATGTTGTCACAATTACAAAATTCTCTTTTAACATCTTAGTTTGGTATTAAAAATCTAATCTTTAAATTGTTTCTTCAGTATATAATAAACTCGGTACAATTTCTTGTTCTCCAATAAGATCCAACTTTCTATATTTTTGTCGAAGATATGTGATTCTTTTAGACACAGTAGTCACTAGAATAAATATACCAACCACAATCATACAAACTCCAGTTAATTTAAGAATGACGTGAAGAGACAACAATGACTTTACGACAAATAGCAGCAAACCTTGTACTTCGTAAGAATATACAGCCCACCAGACCGGAAGAAAAAACTTCGGTGCGTTTTCAAACAGTCTTAAAACAGTAATAATTAAAAATAAATATACTTTGAACTTTTCAAACTTACGATACACCTGGAACAGGTTGCACTAACAAATTAAACTGTAGTGTAAAGTGCGCTTTTAGCGGTACTCCAGTAGTCTAAAAAATGTAATACAACTGAATTAAAAAGTTAGCAAAAATTGAACAACGTACAGGTTCGACTATCATAAAAGAGTCATGTTTGTTTGCTTCGGGCTTCAAACCTTCCACCAAATTAATGTAATACGGATCGGCTTTATAAAAATGAGGCAAAGAAAGAAATGCAGGAAGACTACAACTTAAACTTGTGGCGTTAAACGTACCAGATGGAACACATTCTCCGTTACATGAACATTGACTTTCAGGGTACCGAGTTCCTACAATTTCACATTAGAATCAAATCTTGGCAGATTTGGTAAAGTGGAAGACATACCGTTATCCAGTACTCTTTCACCAATTACGAACTTGTAACCTAGAATATTGTTAACGGTTTCAATTTTTTCGAAATCTAATTTCAAAGGCCTCCCAAAATCCGGCAGAAAGTATGACAAAAATGTTTTTTGTAAATTTCTTGGAAACAACTGCTGACGCGATCCTGTAATCTGTCCGCACAAATCATCATAGTGGGGAGCCTTTTTCTGGTAGTTCCAGTAATAGATTTCACCCAGTTTTGTAGTTTTTCCGGTGCCCATATTTAATACACCATTGTATTCGGTCGTACCATTTCTCTAAAAACCGGTTTAACTTACTTGAAATTGAAATTTAAGACTTACTTTGTAGAAATAAGCGTATCGATCCCAGTGTGGAAAATTATACTGGGAAAGAAATGGTAACGTCGCACCTACTTTAATCCATGGTTCTGGGTACCCGTCAAAAAGTAAACTACCAACAGTTTGGGTCATGTAGAACTGGTTAGCAAAAGCAGAGAATCCCATGGAAAAACTTTTTCTGAGGTAGTAATTCCAGTTTCGAACTATGTAGGACACTACCTGCACAAATCGACAAAAATTAATTCGTTTTCTTTAAAAAATAAAGTGAAAAATTATATAGCTTGAAGAAATTATCTTTGGTAGTTCAAAATATAAAGTGTTACCAGAGGAATAGGATTCATGGTGACAATTCGATCTTGTAAACTATCTTTTCTTTTGCCTTGATAGAACCAAAATTGTCTCGTCATGAACGTGACGGTGTCGTTACTATTCCACGTAAGATTGGCTTTTTCTTCTTTTTGTTGAAACTCGTAAGGTCCCATTTCTTTAAACCTAGGTTTGATTGATGCATTATAAAAGTTTTCGGGATTTGTCCAGTTGAAGAAATAATAGTTTGATGTGAGATCAACTCGTAGTGTCTTCCAGAAATACAGAATAATCGATCCAGGTTGCAAAATTAAAAAGTAGTCAAAAATAACAGGATGTAGAAGTGGTAACAAAAAACCACAAATAATGAGAATGACACTCGCGGCAACCTGAACAAGAGTTTTCAAATTACTGTTGAGTTTCATGTTTGAAAGACCATACAAAGAGGAATGTGTTTGTTTTATAACAAGGCTGCAAATTTATTCTTCGTAAAATTATAGCAAAAGCATATAATTGTGTTGGTTAATTATATATAACTAGATCATATTAAAACTGCGTACATATTACAAAAAGAACTTAATTATGTAGCAGTAAACACATACTTCATTAACACGAGGTATTTTCTTAGAAAATTCTAATAATTATGCTATTATTAAGTAATAAACATTTTTTATTTGTTTTTTTTTTCATTTTTAAAACCCACAATTCGATCTGCTGGCAGTTTTAGATTGGTTACATTACCTCATTAATTCATTATTAACTAGAATTTTAATAAAAGGAGTTGTTCAGAACAACAAATTTATGATCACTGTATAAAAATTGCGCACACATAAACATGTATGTAAGTTAAAGAATAAAATCATTCAATAACGTAGGCAATCACGCAGTATGTCCTAGAGGGTCTAGGGAATTACTAAATGTCACCCTTTACTTAGAGTTGGAATGTACAGCAGATAAAGAAAAACAAAATAGTGAATCAAATTCGGAGCCACCCTCCCCCTCCACCGAATATAATTAGTGTAAGAGCAGTTAATTCACGATTTTCTATTCTCATTCATTAATTTTTTTGCTTTTTTAGCAGTGATAATTTTAGAAAGTATTTTGAAAATTTTGATTCACGAGTTAATTTTAAGATATTTCCAAGATTTTGCAGTTTCAAAGTTAAAGTGTAAGAAACATTGAATTATGAAAAATCGTTTGACAAAAGTCTTGAACACTTGGACCTTCATCGTCTTTTACACCACCGTGAAATTATTTTCAGTATCACAGTTATATGTTCTTTCAGTCGGGAACCGTCAAACTTCATCCCCTATGGATAATTTTCAAGTTTGTTAAATGATGCTAAAATTAAATTCCCGTGCAACTATGTATTTATATAGCCCTTTTTAATACTAGAATTAAGGAAGTGAGTAAATTAATGTCGATTTTAAATGTTTGGTTCGGCTTTCTAGGCTTATTTCTGTCGCAGGCGTACATATTTTTTCACATATTAAGTAATTAAGACAGGCGAGCAAAATATATTCATTCAAATTAGTTGTTGTTGTTGCTTATTAGCATGATACAAACGAACTCATGCATTAATCATTACGTATATGTTTTTCCAAGGAACTCTTGTCACTAGAAATATAATTTAAGTAATTTTAAAAACTCGTTTACATGTTACTAAGAGCTTCAAATTATATACCACAGAAATCGTTAATTAGCTAATTATTACAATCACAACTATTATTCTTTTTAGTTACCAGTTGATTTAATAAAAAAATGCGCAAATTATCATAGAAAATTAGAAGCTACATTTGCCATAATTTTACTGTTCTTGCATATCACATATTTGAACACATGGAAAAAGGAAATCATCATTAAGTAACTGAATCGTAAAAGTTAAGTTTATACGATGGTACTGCGGCAAATCTAAATATGAATAGTTGAGTAACACAAAATTGAGGAAAAAATACACTATGCAGCGATAGCGGCGCGAAGAGCGTCTCCCCGTGAAGGTCTGTCTGACCCAACCACAATCATAATCACAAGACAAGCTGCCCGCTTAAAAACTCGCATTCCTAAGGCACGTATTAAATGCGATCGAAATCAAAATAATCATTCCAGACTGTGAAATGTTCAAATTCTAGTCTAGTGTGATAACCTAAACTTCCCGCCTTAAATTGACCTTGAAAAGGTTTGAAAGATCCGAGAAAAATTCAAAAATTCAAAATTTGGCCTTGGCTGTGATCGTCTAACAAAAATGAGAACCTACGTTGTGTGTTTTTTTTTTAAAGTGGCGGGAAGACGTTCTTTCATACAAGTAAAAATACACTGCGTGTAAATCGAGAGCGCAGCAAATAGGCAAAAATTTTTTTGGAGGGGATAAAATGGCACCCATCTCAGGAGGAAAGAAGCTGCGAGTATTCATTCCTAAACCCCAAAAAACCCCTATCGTATATTCACGTCATATTACATTTCAAATAAAACACTTTAAAAATATGAAAGAAAAGACAACCGCGAATTGACAGACATACACATATGAAAAACGAACAAACGCAAATCCTAAACATTTGTTTAGAATCAATGCAAATATTAGAATATCACAAATTTAATAAAAACAAAGCAAAATCTGAATTAAAGTAACTGGATGCAAATACACAAGTTATTACGGGCGTATGGCGTCAGATTTAAAGTTACGGCAGTTAACAGGAGCACAACAAAAGTACAAGCGGAGTTTGGGGCTACCGGTCGGGGCTGTCCCCCCCCCCCCTCAACGGTGATTCTATGTATCGCAAACCTACCCGCACAAGACATTACACATCCCCAGGACGAACATGCCATCCGAAACTAGGCCATTACGATCGCAGATCCGCTGTTAGGTCTCGACTATTCGGCCACGTCGAGAAATATTATGTGAGGTTAAAACTGCAAAACATGGAAATTTACATTCAATTAAAATTATACAACAAACAAAATTTACTGAGGTTAAGTGCTCATTCACAATGGGCATAAAGCATAAGGATGTCCTAAGCATTAATGCATAAAAATTTATGTTTAGTCCTCCATGCTCGTATTCGTTCACAATGAGCATACTGCTTAAGAGATCCTTGTGCTTTATGCCCATTGTGAATGAGCACTAAGACTGTGAGATTCAGAAATATTGTATGAGGTGAAAAATTGCAAAATTAACAGAATTTACATGAGATTAATACTTGCCACACTTTATCAACGATTCAAACAAAGAGTTTACATTATGTTAAATTATATCATGATCCAGGTGATTGGTTACTTAAAAAAAACAATTTACAATAAACACAAAAATATCCAATCATCGTTGCGAGGAAAAAGCGTCTCGATGATGTAATTTTATCGTTGCGAGGGAATACCTCGATGATGTATATTTTAGCGTTGTGAGGAATAAGTCTCATCAATCTCTAGCGTTGTGAGGACATGCCTCGATGAAGTAACCAATCTTTAGCGTTGCGAGGGCATGCCTCAGTGATGATAATAAGGATGATAACCGCCTAAGGGAAGAAATTATTTTAACCCCCCGTCAATTCGCGATATGAATTTTGTTAATTTAACTGCCGTAAATGAACTATTAGCAATCTTATCTGAAGAATTAAGAAGTGTTATAATGTAACACTTACGTATATGCATCCATAAACTTATTCGTAGTTTCTTAAACAACGAATTATTATCCTGACTAAGTGAATTTCATGAAATCTTGTAGCAAGTGGTTCATTTAAATAATCCTAATTGTTAAATTGTGTTAGCACTTGCTCACGATTAAGAAAAACTAGCCTGATTGGTGAATTTACAAACAATAAACAAATTTACAGCACGTGTTCTGCGTTGAAAGATCGCATGTTTTTTTTTACTAAAAGCCGCAAGAATTAGCCGCGCGGGTTGGGAAATTGGGCGACGTCGGTTACGATTGCTTGTCGTTAAACAAAGGCTTCCTCCATTTTATTAACCACCAAACCAGCTAATTTAAACCTAGCTACTTACAGCGTCTTTTCATCATGCATCCACTACACCAAATAGAAAGATAATGACTCACGCTTTCGACATGCCGCCTTCTGTCTACCAACCAACTAACTAACCCTCTAACTAAAACCCCCTAGTGCTACTAACTGTTCAACTATCCTGCAAGCGTTACCGTGCACCTGGTTGCCTATGTTTAACGATTTATGATTTGAATTCTGTGCAGCAGTAAGTACAATGTTTTTTTTTCCATATACGTTGCATTTTTCTGTAGTAAACACAATTTTATTTCCATTCTATACTATTTGACAGCAAATTTGTCGACACATCTGGCACTTGCAGACAATCATTTACAGTTAGTGTCAACCAGCCCTTTTTTATTTTTATTTTTTCGGGAATTGCTTCAATTCAACAATATTGCCTTCAGATTTTACTTCAAATGCTGATCAACACACGTAGGAGTTTTGAAAATCGACTTGCTTACTGTTCAGCACCTGAGGGCGACCTCTTGAGCATTTCTTGTAAATAGTGCAGTACTTCTTCAGACTTGTAAAATATTTCATTCATGACGGTCATGAAAAAATCCCCAAAGAAAAAATCACAGGGATCTAAATCCGGTAAACGCGCAGGCCAATGGGTCAGTCCGAACTTTCCATCCAACGCTACGTAAAATGCTAATTCAAATAAGCAACATTTATGCGAGCTATATAGCTGAAGACTCTGTCCTGCATGCAAAAGACCTGTTGCTGAGCCGTATTGCCGTACTTTTGAGCATTCAATCCAGATTAGATGAAAAAAGGTCCAATGACATTGTGGTGACCAAATTTGAATTAAAATTTCGCTCTGAAAAAAAAAACAGCGATGCGAAATGGCATTTGAATAATTTAAATTTGAAAAAAAAATTCAATCAAAAAAATCGTTAAACATAGGCAACCATGTGCAGTGTGCATGAGATTTTTTTTTTGCTAGTTGGTAACTCTCCTAGGAATTTTTTTGTAGGTAGAGGGTTGGTAGTGAACGGTGCTTGCTTTGTAGAGAGTTCTTTTCTTTGGTGTGAGTTAAGGACGCGGAAAGGAAGCTAGAGGTTAAGTTTACTTGGTTTGGTAGCCTTTGTTTAACGAAAATTAATGCTACCGATTGCGATGCGACAGTTTCCCCAACACGCGTAACTAATTCTTGCGGTTTTTTTTTCAAGCGGAAATATGCGAATTTTCGACCGACGCTAACACATGGTGTAAATTTGTTTTATTGTTTGTAAATTCACAGTTCATGTTAGGATTTTAGTCGTTAACTAGTTCTAACACAATTTAACGGTCCTGAGGTTGTTCGGATAAAGTACTTACTAGGAGATATCATGAAATTCACTTAGTCAGGACCCATCCTTTGTTTATCAAGTTACATATAATAAAGTTGCTGGGTCCTTATACGTAAGTGTTATTTTAACACTTCTTACCTCCTCACACAAGAATGCTAATAGTTCATTTACGGTAGTTAAATTAACCTAACGTTGTCCCACTCTATAGAAAGGACCGTAGAAGTGCGGTAGAGTGCATATCGTGGACTGAGGTACAGGGGTATTAAATTTTTCCCCTTAGGCAGTTATCATCGTTATCATCATCAACTCATCGAGACGTTGGAAATTATATCACCAAGACGCAGATTTCTCGCAACGGTGGATGCATTTTGTGTTTATTTATCATGTGTTTGTCTGGGATAAACTGGAGACAGTCCACGATATAAACTCTCAAAGCTAATGGTTTTAAATAACCAAGTCACTTGGATCAAGGCATCATTTAAGATAATGTAAATTCTTTGTTTGAATGGTTGGTAAAGTGTGGCATAATTTAACATAATGTAAATTCTCTGTTTGAATCATTGATAAAGTGTGGCATAATTTAACATCAGGTAAATTCTTTGTTCTGGTAGCGGCCATGTTGAAAGAGTATTTTCAAACCGACCACATGTTTGAACTGTAAAATCTCGTTGAACAAATTAACAATATTGTGGGTCATGGAGGACGTGCATTTTATTCCTTTGATTAAGACCATTATTTGCCCAGCGCCACAGGATTGATCACATTTCTGGGAGACATATTTTTGACGCATTTTTTTTAACGACGCCATTTTGAACCTCCAGATTGCCTGCTATGTTTTTTTTTGTGTTTGTTTGAGGGAATGTAAAACAGTGACCCACAATGCAGCTGAATAACTTCACTTTTAAAATTTTAAACTGTAACTCGAATGGACATAAAATATTAACCTCATGTAATTTTGTTAGTTTTGCAATTTTTCACCTCATGCAATTTTTCTCTCTCACAATTTTAGTCTCAGTAATTTTCCTTGCTGCATCAATTAAATTGAACGAAAATTTTCATGCTGTTAATCTCAGATGAGAATTTTTTCACGAGAGTGTATGGTGAATTTAAGCGTTGTTTCTTGCTTTTATTGAAACTTTAACACTTGTTCACTTGTAGTTTAATATCAGAGTCATAGAAACTGAACATTTAAATTGAGGTAAATAACACAGAAACACGTGGCGGAAGCGGAGTCCGCGGTTCCTTGTGGAGCTGGCGGTCGCGCCATCTGCGCAAAGGATGCAGACCTAGAATAGAAATCAGGGGAGAAACCACGAGTTTACGACCGTAACGACCTGTTTCTGCGCGGCACATTTCTTGGTAATAGTAGAGTGCTGGGTGGCATGTTATTTATTATTATTATTAATCATATTACGGATTCCTCCAATTTACAAAAATTAATTAATTAAATGTACAAAAGAATGGAACATATATGCACTTATACTTATATCTAACCTATAATATCTAACCTAACACATTGACTTTGACATAACTCATTAACAAAATTAACGGCAATTATTGTTGAGAATAGAAAGGAATTCAGGTCTAACTACATGTTTTGAATTCTGGAAAAGATCAAACTTTTCTATGGATGCAAATTGTTTCCAAGTTCCATTAATCTATTAATTTGATTATTAAAAGCAAAATTTGTTGTGCTTGCCGATAGAGTAGAATCACCGTCGTGGGGGGAGAACAGCCACAACCAGGAGCCCCAAACTCCGCTCGTGCTACAACGCTCCCTATGGGTATGTTTTCTGTGAGGGCCGGTGGTGTATTAGGTAACTGTGTACAGGTCTTAAGTGGTGTGCCACAGGGATCCATTCTTGGGCCGCTACAGTTCCTAGTTTAGACAGCTGATTTGAAACGAAGTTAAGGTCCCCATTTGCCACGTACGCTGATGATGTTAAATTGTACAATTCAAGCGACAACTGGATAATTATGACTCAAGATGTTTTGAACGTGTGTAAATGGAACATGCCTATTCGACAGAACGTGCAGATTTGTGTAAATTTGATTCACACGTTAACTTACAGGTATCTACGCCCATTCTTTCTTGGTCTGAACATGTCTCGAATATTATTAGAAAGGCTAACGAAATGGTATATTTCTTGGATAAAGTTTTTGCGAGAAGTCACATATCTGTCATTAGAAGTTATACAAAGAATGGTCACAATGCTGACAGACTTTCAATGATGCGTCTTCCAACACCTTCTGAGCAACGTAAGACAGGTTGTTTTCCTCTAAGTACCCTAAGTACAACGAGAGCTACTGTCTCGACTACCTCCAGGTTACGTAGAATTCCAAAACTTCCAGTACAATTTATGACTACGAAACCTAGTCACTAAAGATGGAGTACTGTCAGTTAATGATATTTTTTTTCAGAAATCATTAAAGGACAATCTGCATTAATCATATTTAGCGACAAAATTAAATTTAAATCAACTTTTTTCAATGAAAGATACTATCTTATAAGTTTATACAGTAAAACGGGAAAGAATTAAATGCATACCAAAAACTTTAATAAATTTAATAATCAAGTCTTTAATCTACATTTGTAAAACACAGAGAATAAATAAATTTGGTCCCATTTGCCAGTAACTATGATCTAACGCAAATTTAATTGCTTACAACATATAAGTCCGTAAACTGGCTTTCTTAATACATTATGTAGACAGTGTGTAAAAGAACGTGGAGTATTTTTACAAAACACCAGTATAGCTTTTAATTACTATACAGTTTTATATTGTATAGTATTTCAACACATCCTAGAGTAACCTGTAACGTGTTTTCGCTCCACTAATACAAGTAAAAACCAAAACCAATGTTCAAAACTTGCAGATTTGTACACAAACAAGTATTCTTAATGCTTGGTATTCACTTGCAACACGTGCACACTGCCAAAAAAAGAATGTCTTCTCAACATATTCTGTTTGTTTAAAATACAAAATATTTAAAAAACACGGACATCAATATGATGTCGCTTTCATGTACAGTATCATTTCTTCTCATAAAATGCATTTTGGAATATTTAGCCCGATCTAGCTTCCTTCTTCAGTCAATATCGCCCCGTCTGGTTCCTCTTCTTACTGAAGTGGCTAACAAATTGGTAATCACAGTCGTAGACATCCGGTATTTCCATTTGCACGAACTCGTTGAAAATCATCCTCACTGTGTTATTTCCGAAAATTGCTTTTTCGTATTCTATCAGTTGTTTGAAAAATCCACAATTTGGACGAATTTTAGGTCTCTTTAATTTGACGTAGTTGTAAGCGTCTAGTAACGTTAATCCTTGGTGTTTCATCAAATAAGCCAGGCAGATACTCGCCGACCTGCTGACACCAGCAACACAATAAATCAACGTTTTCCCACCGGAATTGGCAACCTGAAATCAAAACAGTATATAAATAGATGGAAAACGGTATTTTTCAAATTCTGGTCAAAAATATACACAAAATATATATTTTTAATTGTCTTTAAAAGTTTTCTAGCAACATAAACGATTCTAACTGTTCTATTAATATAAATGGATAAATATAATATAAAGTGGTCGAAAATAACAAAAAAATATAATAAATGTGCAACAAAACGATCATGTGATAGAAATATGTTGGCAAATTATATTACAAATATTTGAAGTACTTAACGATGATTTTGCAAGATGTTTATATTCTGAATAAAATATACACTAAAACTTTTTTTTAGAAATTAGTACAAAACTCTCGTTTATAAGTGTCACAATATATTTAACAAATAGAACAGACATTTGGATGTTTAAGCCTAGGTCTTACTAAAACGTAATAAAAAATAAGCAATTTGTTTTGATAAACTTGCATGTATTAAGATCCCTCCTTAAATAAACATATGCTCCGCCTATGGCGGTGATTAATACAAAGAACGACAGAATCGAGAAAATTCTGGTAAGGAAATGGTGGAATTCCAAAAATGTTCACTGTTTTAGATCGTCGCCAGAGAACTTGTTTGATCTACAGACCAGAGCGCACTCAGGCCAATATCGACTCTAAGCGACTTATCTATAAGACTTGCGTTAGAGCTGATCCGATATGAACAACTAACCCGTTTCGGCCATCTGGTCGGACTTTACAACGATAAGTGAACAAAGGTATTGAACATCTTAACGATTTAATACATAATATTCCCGAATGACAAAATTTACATTTTAAGTTGTATTCTCAAATGATAAAACGCTCACCAAAATTTGTTACCAACAATGAAATGACGTAATTTCCAAATTTTACCACAGTAGAAGAAATTTAAATTTCATATCCTCCGTGTTGAGTTTTTACCTTAGACCTCAAGATTTTTGGAAAAAAAATCAACATTTTCCAATTTATAGTTGGAAACAAGTTAAATCCTTAGTCAAAATTTATCCGTTAATGCCCCCCAGGAGTTAATGATGTCATCTAACAATTTTGTCGAATAAATGTTATTTGAATGATTTCTCGATTTTTCAACTGCAGATGTTTCAATTTTTCAATATTTCAATTTTCCACATTTTCAATTTTTCCATTCTTTCGATTCCTCGACTTTTTCTATTTTTCGATTTCTTAATTTTCCAATTTTTATTTTTTTTTGATATTTCTTTCAATTTTGGGATTTTTCAATGTTTCGATTTTTTATTTCTCGATTACTTACGATTACTTTTTGGATTTTCAATTTTTTGTTAAACTTTGTTAAGACTTTGTAATTTTTCGACTTTTTAAAATTTTACGTTTTTCGATTTCTCGAGTTTTCAGTTCTTTTATATCTCAATTTTTCGACTTTTCGAATTTTTAATTTTTGATTTTCCAATTTTTCTATTAAAAATTGTTCGATTTTTCAATTTTTTGTTTTATGGATTTATTGAATTCAGATGTTTTTAACTTTTCTTCTCGGCTTTCGACCTTCTCGATTTCTCTATCTTATGAGTTTTCGATTTCTCGATGTCTCAGTTTTTGAATTTTTCGATGTCTCGATTTTCAGATTTCTCAGTTTTTCGATTTTTTACTTTTGGGCTTTTCAATTTCTCGGTTTTACAATTTTTCCATGTTTCGAGTTTTCAGTTATCCAATTTTTCAATTTTTTATTTCTGGGGTTTCTATTTTTCGATTTATTGATTTTTCAGTTTATCTATTTCTAAATTTTAGATTTACGAATTTTTATTTTTTGATTTTTTGATATTTGAATTTCTCGATTTTTCAATTCTGCGATATTTTAATTGTTCACTATTTTAAATTTTACATTGTTGGATTTTTCGATTTTTTATTTTTCAGTTTTTCAGTATTTCTATTTTTCAATTTTTTAAATTTTGACGTTGCTAAATTTTCGGTTTTCTGATTTCTCAATGAATCTATTTTTGATTTTCTCATTTCTCGACTTCTCCAAGTTTCGATTTGTCGACTTTGGTTTTTTAGATTTTCAATTTCTCAATATTCCAATTTTCTAATTTCTCAACTTTTGAATATTTTTTCAATTTTTCAACTGTTTTATATTTCGATTTCTCAATTTTTCAACTTTTCGATATTTTAATTTTTCAATTTTTCGAATTTTTAAATTTTCGATTTTTCAATTTTTTGAGATCTCGATGTATCGAGATTCAGATGTTTCGATGTTTTGATTGTTCGATCTGTCGACTTCTCAATTTTTCCATTTTTAACTTTTCGATTTTGAACTATTTCGATTTTCCGACTTCTCGACTTTTCGACTCCTCGATTTCTCGATGTCTCAGTCTTTGAATTTTTCAACGTTTTGATTTGTAGGTTTTTCGATTTTTTACTTTTCGGCTTTTCAGATTTTCGATGTTCCAATTTTTGAATTATTCGAATTCAATTTCCCAATTATTTTAATTTTCGACTTTCGATTTCTTGATTTGTTGATTCTTCAGTTTGTCGATTTTTAAATTTTAGATTTTCGAATTTTTATTTTTTTTTTTGATTTTTTGATGTGTGATTTTCCAATTTTACGATAATTTAATTTTTCTATATTTTAAATTTTAGATTGTTCAATTTTACGATTTTTCAACTTTTCAATATTTTTTAATTTTTCAGATTTTGACGTTTGTGAATTTTCAGTTTTCCAGTTTCTCATTTAATCAATTTTTTGATTTTCTCATTTCTCGACTTCCCAAAGTTTCGATCTTCCAGTTCTTCAATTTTTTGATTTTTCAGCTTTTTTGACTTTCCCAGTTTTTGGATATTTTGTTCAATTTTGTCATTTTTCAGTTTTTCGATTCTTCAAATTTTCACCTATTTTTCATATTTCGATATTTGAGTTTTGAGATATTTTAGTATTTCGACTTTTCGATTTTGGAGTTCCGGATTTTTCGATTTCTGGAATTTTTACTTTTGGATTTTCAATTTTTCGGTTTTTAAACTTTAGATTTTTAAATTTTTCGACTGTTTTATACTTCGAATTCTAAATTTTTAAACTTTTCGACATTTTAACTTTACAGTTTTTAAAATTTTAGGTTTTTCGATTTCTCGAGTTTTCAGTTTTTCAATATTTCAATTTTTCAATTTTCGGAATTTTAAAATTTTCGATTTTCCAATTTTTTTTAATTTTTCAAATTTTCCAATTTTTCGATGTTTCGCTTTTTCAATTATCCAATTTTTCAATTTCCTAATGTTTTTCATTTTTGACTTTCGATTTGTTGATTTTTCAGTTTCTCGATTTTTAAATTTTAGATTTTCGAATTTTTATTTTTTTTTATTTTTTGATGTGTAGATTTCTCCATTTTCCAATTTTACGATAATTTAATTTTTCTGTGTTTGAAATTTTAGATTGTACAATTTTACGATTTTTCAACTTTTCAATGTTTTTTAATTTTTCAGATTTTGACGTTTGTGAATTTTCAGTTTTCCGATTTCTCAATTAATCAATTTTTTGATTTTCCCATTTCTGAACTTCCCAAAGTTTCGATCTTTCAGTTCTTCAATTCTGCAATTTTTTGATTTTTCAACTTTTTTGGCTTTCCCAATTTTTGGATATTTTGTTCAATTTTGTCAGTTTTTCGATTCTTCAATTTTTCTCCTATTTTTCAATTTTTCGATGTTTGAGTTTTGAGATTTTTTAGTCTTTCGACTTTTAGATTTTAGAGTTCTGGATTTTTCGATTTCTCGACTTTTTACTTTTGGATTTTCAATTTTTCGCTTTTCAAATTTTAGATTTTTTAATTTTTCGACTCTTTTATACTTCGAACTCTAAATTTTTCAACTTTTCAATATTTTAATTTTACAGTTTTTAAAATTTTAGGTTTTTCGATTTCTCGATGTTTCGATTTTTCAATTATCCGATTGTTCAATTTCTCGATTTTTAAATTTTACATTTTCCAAATTTCTATTTTTTCGATTTTTTCATGTTTGGATGAAAATTATTAAAAAAATGTACAAGGACATATACATTATCAGAACTAACGACGAAAAGTTAAAAGATGGGAGTGAAGCAAGGATATGTGCTGAACTACCTCCTATTCTCGATAGCATTGGACGAGCCAATAGAGGAAGCCTAGAAAACAATGAAAAAACTAAAAAGGGGGTACTGGCAGATGTCTGAATGAACCAATGTTTGCAAATGGCAAAAACAACAGAAGATCGGCAAAAGAAAAAAAAAACTATGATAATCTCGGGGGGAAAATACGTAACATAACACTCCAAGATAAAGTAATTGAACAAGCGCAAAGTGATAAATATTTGCGAACAGTGATATAAAGCGACGGAGAAATGGATAAAAAAATAAATGAAAGAGTGAAGAAAACAGGACACACAACAAGATGTTAACAAAAAGAAATACGAAAAATAAACTAGGAAATAGGACATCCTGACAGAAGTTACAAATTAAGCCCGACTCTGGATATCGGAAGGCCAAATTCACGGTGGATTCATAAACCACAAGTACAAGAGTATGTTACTTAATAGAATTTAAATAAAAATATAAACGTAAGTCACTATGAAAAACTAAAACTTGATATATTTTTTTGAAATATGTGTTAGGTTAATAAATAAATAAATTTCATTTAAAAAAAGTACCGTCAAGAGAAGACTAGGACTTGATTGAAGATCTTGTATCAAAAATTTGACAATCCGTAGACTTTGTTTCCAAAATTTTGACCACCAAATATTAACTCCAAGAACAATTAACCAAACATGCCTTTTTCACACTTTGGTCTAGAGCGAACAATTACAGAAGATCAAAACATTATTTTGCTGATATTTTTTAATTGAAAGTTGCATGAGGAGAATCGGAATTGAAAACAGAAGTAGGTTATGTTAATATGACTGCGGTTGTCTTATAATAAGAATAAGAGTTTATAATTATATATTAAAATTTTGACCCAAATTAAATAACATTACACCAAATACCATCTATCTTAAAAAGGTTTTCTTAAGA